TTTTTGAGAAATTTCTGTAAAATAGTATTTAAAATAATTTGAATCCAGCGATGAATTTTATTATTTATGAAAATAATTGAATACCTAGTTGCAAAAAATTTTATTAAAATTTTCAAAAATAATCGAATTCCTGAGAAGAATTTTATTATTTATGAAAATAATTGAATTTTATGAAATTTTTTAAAAGTAATTGAATTGTTTTGCGAAATTTTATAAAAATACTAGATATGTTGAAAAAAATTGAATTTCAAATATTTTTTTGAAAATAATTGAAAATCGTTTTAAAGAATTTGACTATAATTTTTTGGTTAATTAAGATGGAAATATTGTATATTATTTTAAGAGAAAGAATTTGGAAATAAGTAAAAGTTACGTGTTTAAAATTTTTCAATAAAAGTGATAGGTATTTTAAAAGAAAATATTAAAGTAAGATGGATGCACTATTGAACCTCAAAGCCGCTGAAGAAAAAAAGCAAATTTTATTTCTTTGAATATGGTAAAATTTTGAAACCCAGATTTTTGTCTTTGGATTCATTTCCCAGATTCATTCTTCAGAATATAAATTCAGATTTGCAGGTCTGTGTTATCAAGTGCAATTGATAAAGTATTGTGTAATGCACCTAGGTGGTAAAGTTACTACTTTTTTGTCAACGCAGATCATATAGTTGAGGACAAACAACTTTTTGACAAAAAAGTCTTCCGCAAGTATGGTATACATACATTTTCCCAGGTGCGAAAAGTTGGTCGGGCCATGGTCGCGCCGACCAAGTGGATAGTCGTGCCGACCTTGGCAACCAAAGGTCGGCCGAACTAGCGAATTGTAACACCCGCCGTCCAGTGGCTGACATGGTCGGGCCGACTATGGCTGCCAAAGTCGGACCGACCAGGGGTGCCAAAGTTTTGCCAACCATGTGAAAGAATGTCGGCTTGACTTTGGCAACCATGGTCGTGCCGACCTTGGCAGCCAAAGGTCGGCCGAACTAGCGAATTGTAACACCCGCCGTCCAGTGGCTGACATGGTCGTGCCGACTATGGTTGCCAAAGTCGGGCCGACCAGGGGTGCCAAAGCTTTGCCGACCATGAGAAAGAAAGGTCGGATTCACTTTGGCAACCTTGGTCGTGCCGACCTTGGCAGCCAAAAGTCGGCCGACCGATTGCAAAAAATTATTAATTATTTATTATTATTATTAATTATTATTATTCATTATTTATTTGTTTATTGTATACATCTTAACACTAAACGCAATCTTACACATAAATACAAATTAAAATTTCTAACGCTCGCAGGAATCGAACTCGCAACCTAACGCACCGAAGTCTAACACGCTAACCATTACGCTACGCTTACATGAAAGCCTAAGAACAAAAATGATTTTATAAGCTGCAACTTCAAACTGACCATCGGCCCGACTCTGGCCAAAGTCGGCCCGACCAAGTGAAATTAGGTTTTTTGCACTCTGGCTGCCATAGTTTTACCGACCGTCGGCCCGACTCAGGCCAGAGTCGGCCCGACCAATTGAAATTAGGTTTTTTAAACTCTGGCTGCCATAGTTTAACCCACCATCGGCCCGACTCAGGCCAAAGTCGGCCCGACCAACTAAAATTAGGTTCTCTAAACTCTGGCTGCCATAGTTTAACCCACCATCGGCCCGACTCAGGCCAAAGTCGGCCCGACCAACTAAAATTAGGTTCTCTAAACTCTGGCTGCCATAGTTTTACCGACCGTCGGCCCGACTCAGGCCAGAGTCGGCCCGACCAATTGAAATTAAGTTTTTTAAACTCTGGCTGCCATACTTTAGCCAACCATCGGCCCGACTCAGGCCAGAGTCGGCCCGACCAACTAAAATTAGGTTCTCTGAACTCTGGCTGCCATAGTTTTACCGACCGTCGGCCCGACTCAGGCCAGAGTCGGCCCGACCAATTGAAATTAAGTTTTTTAAACTCTGGCTGCCATACTTTAGCCGACCATCGGCCCGACTCAGGCCAGAGTCGGCCCGACCAACTAAAATTAGGTTCTCTGAACTCTGGCTGCCATAGTTTAACCCACCATCGGCCCGACTCAGGCCAAAGTCGGCCCGACCAACTAAAATTAGGTTCTCTAAACTCTGGCTGCCATAGTTTTACCGACCGTCGGCCCGACTCAGGCCAGAGTCGGCCCGACCAACTAAAATTAGGTTCTCTAAACTCTGGTTGCCATAGTTTTACCGACCATCGGCCCGACTCAGGCCAAAGTCGGCCCGACCAACAGAAATTAACCTTTTTAAACTCTGGCTGCCATACTTTAGCCGACCATCGGCCCGACTCAGGCCAAAGTCGGCCCGACCAACTAAAATTAGGTTCTCTAAACTCTGGCTGCCATAGTTTTACCGACCGTCGGCCCGACTCAGGCCAGAGTCGGCCCGACCAACTAAAATTAGGTTCTCTAAACTCTGGCTGCCATAGTTTTACCGACCGTCGGCCCGACTGAGGCCAGAGTCGGCCCGACCAACTAAAATTAGGTTCTCTAAACTTTGGCACCCATAGTCGGCCCAAACTTGGGTGGAAACAGTAACCAAAGTCGGCCCGACTTTGGCTGCCGACCTATTGGCAGCCATAGATGGGCCGACCTGCGCCCGACCTTCCAACTCTGGCGGCCGACCAAAATTCGCACCTGGGTTATTTCATGCAACACATGTACAAAGAATAAAGTTTACATTTATTTCTTTCATATACAAATGTATAACCCGATCGTAAATTGATCGATATCATCAAGGAAGTAACAATTTTGTGAATTTTTGTTACAGAAAAATGTATTTTTTGTACATGTGTTCTCTAAAAAAAGTGTGTATTTTTAGCAGTCACAATCATTATATCTACGATCAGTGTTGCCAGCACGATAATCTAGTCATAAGGGAACTTCGTTCAATTAAAATGTCTCATGTGACAAGTAAAAAATGTAAAAAAAAATAAAATCTCAAATTATAAGAGTATCTTAAATAATAGCGTGTAACTTGGTTTAAAACAATTGAGATTCATTGTTGATGTCAATTGAGGGAAATGTAATAAACAACTTTTTTCATATTTCATCGATAACTTGAATTTTTTGGGACTCGATAGCTATTCGTTGAATTTCATGTTGATTTTTTTATCAAAAGAGAAGTCAATTCAAATTTTACGATTCGGTAACGAGAAGTTGACTAGTTAACATTTCTCTTAAATGATACTATTTAATCAAATTGTTTGCGCAATATAATATTCATTGCAATTCGAACATCCTTACTTTTAAGATAATTATAGTGATGTGTACAGTTTATATAAAAATATACTCACTGAAAAATTTTATGGCAGAAAAAATTGTTCTATAAGTCACACTGGTTGACAAAAGAAATCTACAAAGCGCCAAATATTTCCTGAAACTACGTCGCATTTGAAATTTTTTATAACTATTGAAGTGGTTTGACAGCAACTACTATCCAAGACTATCAGTTGATATTCTGCAAATTATTTCTAAAAAATGAAAAACTATTCAAATTTTTAATGCATTACGTGCATCTCGTATTTTAAATACATTTTTAATACACAGAATTAAAAAATTCATGGTTTAGAAAATATCTGGTGCTCTAAAAGTTAGTTTTTAAATTCAAAGTACATATAAGTTTAAAACAAATAAAAAACCCTATTTTTAAATTCATTACTGGCACTTCTTTCATTGATAGAAAATTCATGTCAGACGGTTAAGAAATCTTATCAAATTATCATATTCCTGTTTACAAATCAGAAAAAAATGAGTATTTTTTGACTAATAGTGTTACTGTTTGTCTATAATGGGTATAAGTAGAACAAATTGTTTTCCCTGTACTCAATATTTTTTCAATCTAATTTTTTTTTAAGGTGACATTGTATAAAGATATTCTGTCAATATTGCACAAAATATTATAAACAAACAATTATGAATGTCCATTATTGAATGAATTATGAACCTATTGTAACTTTCTTCATGTGTTGATAATATATTTAGTTATATATGATTCAACAACGCTACTCACAAGATTCAAATTTATGTATAGTTTGAAATATCTATTATACGATTTATAAAATTCTTTATATTCTTCTGATGCTTTTGTTAATAACAAACGATTTCTTGTTTTAATAAATTTTTTTAAATACGAGAATTATTAAGTTTTATTTAGAATGACTATTCATATATCTGCATAATTAGATTTATAATAATTTATAATAATCTCTTGCAATCATTATTTTCTGTTTTCGGTTGTACGCTTTCTGCTGACAATGTTCTTCACCCAAATACTGCTTTTCAGTTTAGTTAGTTATAAATTCGGCTAAACTAGATTTCGTTAAAATTCACATTATATCGAACCAAAATGTGTTAAAATAAAATTGAGTTAAATTAAATTTCGGCTAATTTAACGTTCGAAAAAATAAACAAATCAATCATTTTTAAATTTTATAAGTTAAGGCGCAGACGCGGCTCGGCCGCCTGTCTGCAGGTTGTCATGGTAACACATAAGAGTGAGAGAGTCAGAAAATTCAAATTAAATGTTTTCTCTCTCAGCGACACAGCCAGCGTTCTCCATTGTGAACTCTACCTAAAGACGCTCTCACAGCTCTGCATGCATGCCAATGCATGCATAGTTGTCATGGTAACACATGAGAGTAAGTAAGTCAGAAAATTCAAATTTCATGTTTTTTCTCTCTTACTCTCATGCTGGCAGTAGAGCTGTGCGAGCGCCTTAAGGGCTAAAGTTTCACTCCATCAGCACTTTCAGCCAGTGTTGGGAAGTGACGCGTCACTCGAGGTTTTTGACGTAAAATACTTGGTTTTTTGCATAGGTAAAATACGTATTTTACCCCCCTCCCCCAAAAAATACATTGTGTATAAAACTTTTGAAGTAAAATACGAGGTATTTTACTGTAAAAATCCATGTAATTTACCTGAGGTATTTTACGCGCCCAACCCTGCTTTCAGCAGGTCCGTCTCTGTCTTTAATGATTTCATGAAAAGGAACCCATGGGAAAAGCATGTATGCACAATGCACATGGGTATGCATGTGATGCATGTATACCGAATAATGTTTATATTGTATAATGTTTACATTTAGTTTAAAATTAAAATTACCAAAATGTAGGGGTATAATGACAAGACTAAATGTTCATACACAAAAGAAAGAAAAATATAATTATTTTACATCAGAAAATGTTATGGATTACCGTACTTTTATTGAAGAATTTCGAACAAATAGTTTTTCATTTGAAACTGTATTGAAGTACAGAATAGTTTTGAAAACTCCTATAAATGTTTTACAAGAAAATTATGCTTTATGCAAGGTAAGTTAAACTTTTTCTTTAAAATGCTATATTCATGTTTTAATTGGTAAATTTATATTGCTAAATAATAGAATAATCGGTTTGAGGTTAGAATACGACATTGTATATATATACTTATAAATTTATAATTTCTAAATTCAAATATAACTTTATTTATGAGTTAGTTAATTAAGAAAATGAACCTTATTAAAGTTATTTTTAATTAGCCCTTTTTAAAGGGCGTCTAATATTAGAATAAGTAATTATCAAAAGAAAAAAATTGCTACCGGGTTGAAGAATTATTAATTTAGTAGAAATTTCGTGATTTTTGGAAAATCAGTGAGAAAAAAATAACAACTTCTGTTTCCCCACCTTTTTTTATTTTAGGGCTTGGAGGGTTTACTTGGGTTAAAAATAAACAAGAAAAATTTGTATCCTAAAGTTTTTAGAGAAATTTTTTTTTTTAAATTTGTTCGTTGAATCAACGTTGGTAACTTCAGTTTCATCTGTTTTGATATTTTCTGATAAAAAATTTCATAATAAAAACGTAAATTTAGTTAAACTAGACTTAAAACTTTATAATTATCCTGATCAATTTGTTAACAAACATGTGAGAAAAAGAATTATTGAAACTAATAGTAGAACATTTTCAAATAATGTGAAGATGTTAAAAACTTTTTAATTCTTCTGATCAAATATTACACTTTTAACAGTATCTTTTATTAAATTTTCAAATAATATTAATAACAATAACAATAACAAATATAAGAAAATATCAAAAGATTACTTAAAACTTTTAACATTTTGTTGAGTATCTAATAATTTTGAGAGTGAATCAGAATATTCTTTAGGGTCAGGGAAAAAGTGAAAGTTGTGTTTGGAAATCAGGGAAAAATAAAGTTAAATTTTTGTGGCAACTTTTGTATATATAAATAAATAATATTTTTATCTTTATTTAACCAATTTTTATGGTCCCCTAAAAGTCCCCTATTTTTTAATTTTCAGTCCCCTATTTACCCTAAAATATTTTTTAGGGGCACTGTGAAGCCTGAGTTTAAACAATTTTTCAAAATTCGCTTGCTCGTGGGCTATGCTACGCTTCACAGTGTAGCACAGATTTAGAATAACGAAAAGTCGTCTTGGTTAAAAATTGTGGCTTGTAGAGTGATTTGAAACGAAAAAGTACATTTTTTTCAGAAAAGTTAAAAAAAAACTAAACTAACGTGGAGATTAATAAACCATGTATTAAAGGCCTGAGGACAATAAAAAATGGAAGCATACCTAGTAAACGAAAACTAATTGAAATGAATTAAAAAGAATTCACAAAGAGCTTTCGTGAATCCCGCTTTGTGACAAATACGAATTGGAGCCATGATGCAATTTTCCTGAATTCGTGAAACTGTATTGAACTTCCGAACCTTCTATCCGTACCAATTCACTGGACAAGTTTTGAGCCTTTAATTTTTTTCAATTCGTTAGCACGAATTCAATGCATTCCTTGGCCATTTCTTTCGAATGCGAATTCGTTTGGACAAATTGGTACATATTGAATTAAATTCAATTGAATATACAAAGAGCTTGAGTGAATCCCGCTTTGTGACAAATACGAATTGGAGCCTACCAAAAATGTTAATTCGTTTCAATTCATTTGAATTAGTTTTTTTTTACTGGGTAGATTGAGTTATTGAATTGAGATGCTCAATTCTGTGAAAGTCTGATGTACAACGTTTATTTTTATTTTATTTAGATAATGTCTTTTTCAGGAAAATAAGATAACATTCATGTCGCCATTAAATACTGCCACGTTATTATCCTTGCCGACACCAAGAATGCGCCATAATATTGGCATTCTCAAAGAATGTGGATCTATTAGGCTCACTGATTACAATGTAGCAAGGTAAATTTTGGAAATAAGTTTTTTATCACAGTTGATGCAGGGCAATAAATTAATAATGTTGGAATCCGATAAATTTTTAATTTTCAAGTCCGCCGCATTGAATTCGTAATCAGCGACCTCGGAAACCTTAGAGTAACATTTAAACATTCGGTTCCTTAGCTTAATATTGACATTTGTCACCTTCTTTCAGTAGAAGATTTCAAAATTTTAAGATAAACTGAATATCGGAAAACTGATTTCGAATATGCGCTTCTTAAATATTATACGAAAACTTTTCGTTTAGAAATTTAATGATAAATTTTTTTAAATAGATTACCAAGGCTGATGAAGTTGCAACTCGATACATTTAAAAATGTTGCACATATTCCGCAAAAAGTGAATGTTGCAGGAGAAATTCACAAAAACGTATTCTTGAAATCTTACAACTCCACAGTTTTTGAAAATCTTAATGAAGATATGACATTTTTTGAATTACGTTTTTTATTAATACCACACTATGTATATTGGAAGTTCAACATTTCTATAAGCAACCAAATCAAAAGATCAACAATGAGGAATATATTTTTATTTAAAAGCTGGCATTTGGTTAACGAAAACGTTGACTTCTTAAAAAACAATATTGGATTCAAGTATAATACTGTAAGTACTTTCGAAACAACTAATGTCTGGATCAAAAGTAGAGTCCTTAAATTAGAACATAATTGTTCATTAGGTTTTTAAATTTTATTTTTAGTTCAGTAACTTTGCATCACAAAATTCTTAAAGTTTTAGGAAATTTTATGAAAACTTGATCGATAGAACTTGATAAAAAAAATGGTGTCAGATTGTCAGGATTATTTTGACCCGGATTAAGAATTAATTTAAAGAACCTCCGCAATTCCCATGCAAAAATATCATTCGAATAATAATAATATTCAAAAAATCAAACGAATTGGTTCCTTTAATATTTCTGACTGCTGATTACGAATCTGAAGTCAGAATGTAAAAAATGATTTTGATTTTTAAAATTGATAAAAGTGGATGTAATATTACATTGTATTTGGGTGTAATGTAGTTTTTCGGTCATTTCAGAAATCCAACAATATGTATGCTGTAAAATGTGATTTAAACAATGTTAGAAGAATATGCGAGGAGATAAAGAATATTGATAAAATGACTATGAAAGAGGTTATTAATAAGTGTCCGCAAATATTACTTCAGTCGGCGGATAGTATTAAAGAATTTTTAACTTGGTATCGACGGAATCGATTAAAGGAGTATTTGATATTGAACAATTTAAAAGTTCTTTCATTAAACTCTGATGAAGCTATAAAGAATTTGGAAAAGATATTAAGGAACCCAGCTCTTGCGAACTTTCAAAATCATCCAAGATTTTTAAATTTACTATTTGTGAATCATGATTTAACAAAAAGAATAGCATATTTGGAATCAAATAATATGACAAAAAGTTGGAAGAATATTACGATATCATTCAGCGAAATGAACAAGTAAAAATTAACCTAGCTCTAAGGGTTCACACCACTTTGCAAACAGTCTTAAGCTTTATAAAAATTTTATTTTATTATAAAAAAATAAAAAAAAAAATTTTTTTTTTTAAAAAAACCTTCACCTGACATTGTTTAACAATGTCAGGTGAAGGTTTTTTTTGAATTGGAAAAATCAGAAGCGCGAAAAATAAAAAAGTGTGACAAAAGTTTCTGTTGTTTATTTACAGAGCGCTTTCTATAATTTTTACATATTTTTCAGATGTTTTACTTTCGAAATCCGTAAAAAAAAGATTTTTTCTAGTTGACAAAGTGGTATGAACCCTTAAGTTCTTAAAAAAATATAATTATATTCAACACTAACGTTTTTTCATTATTTAGGACTAATAAAAAAACTTTTAAAATGAAACTGATTAATTGCAAGGAATTTTTAAATATTGAATTTCCAAAACAAGGACCAGCTTTATTTGTGGAGCTTAGAAAGAATCCAAATTGGCATCGCATTGATTTATTTCAAATGTTTGAATCTATTCAGTATTTAAAGGAACATTTTTCCCTTGACGCTATTTCCAGTAATATTCACATAATTTTGTATGAAAGGTAATTAAACGGTAGATAATTTCTTCTTATTTAACAAATACAGTTCAGTGTTGAAAAGTTGAATTTAATTTAAGTTTTATTGCTCTACTTCTTGACCGGGTGATAGATTTTTCTTGAAGAGGAAATTCCCGGTCATAAAGAAAAAAACTCTTAAAAATTATCTTCAAGATTTCAATTCAATTAGTTTCGAGAAATTTTAAACTTTTTTTTATGTCGCACATATAATTTAATTTTAAATTCTTTGTTTTGCAAATTTTCATCATCCCTAAATATTTTGACGTGTTCTATTCTTATCAGGAAGTTTTATTTTCCGTTAGTTACAATCACACTACCGTTTTATTTTCAGGATCAGGATAGACAAGATTTTAAATTTCGTTCGCCATCGGTATAAGAATTACAGGGATCATGAGTTGTCACCATCGCAACATCTTGCATTATGTGTATACCATTTGGAAGTAGAATATCACTTTTCTGGTGATAGTATTTTGCACACAACAGACAAGCGAGTGGAGAACAAGAGTTAATTGTTAAATGGAATCTACCGCAATATTTACATGCAAGAAAGAGAACTGAAATCTATTTTGATAATGTTTTATTTATAAAAAGTGTATGAAAGCTAAAATGTAAGTGTTCATCTAGACCTATAATAAAATAATATACTTTGTTTTAAATAGCTTTTACGCTTTTATTTTATCATGGATATTTATTATTATCGGTTAACATAACAAAAAAAAAGGGTATTTTTCTGTACAAATCCTTCAATTTTTTCTATTTCTGACAATAATTTCTTTTTAAATAACTTAATTCTTGAAGAACTATCATCAAATTATTACTTAGAATTTATTTAATGAATCATTTTATTTAAAAATTTCAAAATTCATTGGATTTCAAAAGAATTGAGTTTACAATTTTTATAAATAGATTAACTTCAAAGGTTTCAATTTGAAATTTTAGAAAATATCAATTTTTAATGAATTTAAATAGAAATTTTAAGAAGTAACTGATTACAGATATTCAATTATTTTTAAAAGTAATAAACTTCTTCACATAAATTCAATTATGTTTAAAAAATTTGTAAAATTCTAGTCAAAATTTCAATTCTTTATAAATAATAAAATTCTTCTTCGAAATTCAATTATTTTCAAAAAATTTAATAAAATTTTTGGCAAAATTTCAGTAATGTTCAAAAATTTAAATAAATTCTCGTTAAATTTTCAATTATCTTTATAAATAATAAAATTCTTTTCCGAAATTCAATTATTTTCAAAAAATTTAATAAAATTCTTGGCAAAATTTCAATTATTTTCAAAAATTTTCCTCATTTCAATTATTTTTAATAAAATTTTCCAAAAGAATTCAATTATTTAAACAAAATTTTAATAAAAATTTCACTAGATTTCAATTATTTACCAATTGTTTATAAATTTCTTCGCACCAATTCAATTATTTTTAATTTTATAATGAAGTTAACACGAAAGAATTCAAATATTAAAAGAGAATTGAAAAAAACGTTTCAGAGAAATTCAATTATTTCGAAAAATTTATAAAAAATAAAATAATAAATAATAAATAAAATAATAATAATAAAAAAATAATAAAAAAATAAATAATAAATAATAATAATAAATAAATAATAATAAATAATAAATAATAAAATAAATAATAAAATAAATAATAAATAATAAATAATAAATAATAAATAAATAATAAATAATAAATAATAAAAAAAATAATAAATTTTATAAATAAAATTCTTTTAAAAATTCTACTATTTAAAAAAATTTTGACAAATTTCTTTACCAGATTTAGTTAATAAAATTGTAATTATTTTAATAAAATTTTCCTATACAATTCAATTATTTGCAATACAATTCTTCTTGAGAATTCAATTATTTTCACAAATAATACTTTTTTTTTATGAAAATTCAATTATTTAAAAAAAATTTGAATAAAATTCTTCGCAAGAAATCAACTATTTTCATAAATAATAAAATGTTTCTCGAGAATTTAATTATTTAAAAAAATTTTGATAAAATGCTTTATAAATTTGTAAAAATAATAAGAAAATTGATCAATTTTCGTAAAAAATAAAATTCTTCGAAGCAATTCAATTATTTAAGAAATTTTAATAAAATTCTTCCCAAGAATTCAATTATTTAAAAGAAAATTTAATATGATTCTTTGTTAGATTTCAATTATTTTCAATTTTTTAATGAAATTTCTCGGTGGAATTTAATTAATTTCAAAAAGTGTTAAAAAATTCTGAGAAATTCAATTATTTAAAAATTTTGAATAAAATTCTTCACAAGAAATTAAAATTAAATTTTTGTGGCAACCCTGTATAATTTTGATTGGCTTGATAGTTTCTTTAAAAAAAATCCACAAAAAACATTTTTTTTCGGCCTCTAAGAGTATTTAAGGGAAAATTGAAATTAGGAAAGGAGTGACATAGTTTATAAAAGATGAGAAGTGATTAAAGTTAGTAATCCTATAAACCATGATATAAAATGTATTTACTCAAATTGTTTCCATATCTGGGCACTTTTTGATACAAAAAATACTGAGATACATTTTTATGATTTTTAAAAAAATAATTAGTCGATAAAAAGTTGATATAAGTTTAAACAACTAACATGTCATGGAGCTGAAATTATTTTATAATCCTATGCAGCATGATATAAATAAGAATACACATGAATGCACATTTAAAAAATTGCATGTCTCTGGAAGACCTCTTAAATTTATGACAATTTTCTCTCTCTTTCAATGTATATACAGATGGACAAACACTTTCCTTCAAGTTTCCTTCAGCATTAAAAATTCCTTAACGTTGTGTTCTCATTTCCTGAAACGATAGAAAACTTTTAAAAAAAATCATTTCCAAATTAAATTTCAAATGCTATGGAATTTTTTAAAAAATTAAAAAAAAACAATTATTACCTTTTCTCAAAATTTTCAATTTTTTATATCTCAGAAAATCTCTGTTTTTGAAGCTAAAGAAAGACTTTTTTTTCATAATTATTTTTTAAAAATGACTGATAAAAAATTATAATACGAGCAATTTTTCTATAACATGTCATTGACAATAGAAAATTTGAATTATTCCAGATAAAAAAAGAGTCATACTTACAGAAAACTTTGCAACTTTTATATGCACTAAGAGAGAGGCGAGTTCTAGATCTTCACTAAAATTATTTTTTAGTGGAACACTTCTGTATCCTGTTCTTAGGCACGTCACCTGCAAATCGAATATATTTACATAATTGTGAAAAGGTGTAAAAGATTCCAAAAACTTTAGTATTTAAAAAATTGGAAAAGCACCATTTTTGTGCATATTTTCATTAAATTTATTACTTTAAAATAAATTTTAAAATGTACCTATTAATATTGTATTCCTACTTACAGGATATGTAGCTTGAGCAATGAAATTACTATCTCCAAACATATCTTCGTCTTGAATGACGAATCTTAATAAGGCAATACATGGGTTCGTTATTTCAAATTCACATGATTCATTCCAGATCGGGTTAAATCCATTATCAACTGAAATAACAGATTTTATTAAACTAATCCATTTTTCATTCATATGGATAATAAAAAATAGCAATAACTATTAAAAAATAAAAAAATTTGAAATAAAACTACACTGTAATAAAATATTTAAAATATTTAATTATTATTATTTTTCCATAGGAATTAAGATTTCTAAATATTTTAAATTCAAACCTTTTTAAAATTAATCAACTTTAAAAATATTTGCTATAAAACATGAAGAAATCGTTCAGTCCGAGTCGAAGACTGATCGATTTCTTCATGTTTTATAATAATAATTAAAGAGGATCAAGTGTTAAAATCATTATTTTATATTATAAAAAATATTGTTACTGTAACATCTTAAAAATTATTTTCATATTCTATTATCTAAAATTTAAACTAAAATTAATTTTCAAATCAATTTTTATTAGAAAATTCTACGAGAATTCAATTATTTAAATACAAAAGTAAATTATTTATTGAATAATTGAATGTTTCTGAAAATTTAATTCTTTTGATGAATTTTAATAAAATTTTTTAAAATAGTTACATTTTTCAAGGAATTCGATTAAAATTGTATTAAAAATAATTGAAATTCTACGATGAGTTTTATTATTTCTGAAAATAATTGAATTATTCTGAAGAAACTTATAAAAAATTTGTAAATATTTGAATTCCTGTGAAATTTTTATTATATTTATGAAAATAATTAAATGTTTGCGTACAATTGTATTAACATTTTTTTAAATAATTGAATTCTTTTGGATAATTTTATTACAATAGTAGATATTAAAAATCATTAAAATGAGGAAAATTTTTGAAAATAATTGAATTTTGAAGAATTTTTTATTTATAAAGATAATAATTGGGATTTTGTCAAGATTTCTTTTGTAAATTTTGAAAATAATTGAATTCCTACTAAAAATTTGTTATTTTAGAAAAAAATTGAATTTCTGCGAAGAATTTTATAAACTGTTTGAAAATAATTGATTCATGTTCAAAATTTTATTATTTTTGAAAATAATTGAATTTCTGCTAAGAATTTTGTTATTTATATTGATAATTGAATTCATGACAAGAATTGTATTACAATTTTTTTTAAATAATTGAATGTCTTCCAAGAATTTTGTAAAAAATATTTAAAATAATTGAATTCCTACTAAAAATTTTTTTCTTTATGAAAATAATTGAATTCTTACGACGAATTTTGTTATTTATAAAGATAATTGAATTCTTTTGGGTAATTTTATTACAATAGTAGATATTAAAAATCATTGAAATGAGGAAAATTTTTGAAAATAATTGAAATTTTGACAAGAATTTTAATAAAATTTTTTAAAATAATTGAATTTCTACTACGAATTTTGTTACTTTTGAAAATAATTGAATTTCTGTGAAGAATTTTATTAAAATTGAAAATAATTTTGAAATTAATTGAATTTCTGGAAAGAATTTTATGAAATTCTTGAAAATAATTGAATTCCTACTAAAAATTTGTTATTTTGGAAAATAATTGAATTTCTGCGATGAATTTTCTAAACTGTTTGAAAATAATTGATTCATGTTAAAAATTTTATTATTTTTGAAAATAAAATTATTTATGCAAAGAATTTTGTTATTTATATTGATAATTGAATTCTTGACAAGATATTCGTTAAAATTTGTAAAAATAATTGAATTTTTTCGAAGAATTTTGTTATTTTTAAAAATTATTGAATTTTGGAGAAGAATTTTATTTTTTTTGAAAATAATTGAATTCTTACGACGAATTTTGTTATTTATAAAGATAATTGAATTCTTGTCAAGAACTTTATTAAAAGTTTTGAAAATAATAGAATTTTTCGCGAAGAATTATATGATAATTTTTGAAAATAATTGAATTCTATAAAGAACTTTTATTAAAAAGTTTGAAAATAATTGAATTCCTACTAAAAATTTTGTTATTTTTAAAAATTATTGAATTTTGGAGAAGAATTTGATTTTTTTTGAAAATAATTGAATTTCTGCAATCATTTGTAACTTTTTCAAAATTCAATTTTGTTCAGTGTTTTTAATTCAAATTCATCTATAAATCCATTATTTTTAATAATTAATTAAATATATATTGACAAATTTAACTAATTTTAGAAGATTTGAAAGTATTAAAAGTTTTTCAAAAATCTAAGTTACTTAAAATTTATAATTAAATTCATTCAACATTGAAATTTTATAAAATTGCAAATTGAAACCATTTGAAGTTAATTTATTTATGAAAATTGTAAACGCAACTTTTTTAAAATTGAATTAATTTTGAGATATTTAAGTAAAATTATTCATTAAATAATTTATTAATTTTATGATAGTTGTTCAAGATTTTAGTATTATTTAAAAAGAAATTTTTGTCAAAAATTGAAAAAATTGAAGGATTTTTATTAGAATTTGTGGTAATTTTATAGTTTGTGTCGAACAAAAAAGACCCAAAAATTCGGAATTTTCTTAGGAATTCTAAAAATAATTATTTTTTTTTAGTTCTTTTAATAAAAATTCCTGACTTTTCCCTGAATTCCTAATGTCAGAATATATGATTATTATAATTATAATAATATTAAAACTCTATATTCCAATTCATATTTTTTATGAAATAAATTTGAATTAAAAATTTTTACATTCTATTCATTTTTAAATTTGCTAATTTCATTTAAAAAAGTGAGCGAGAAGTCAGTCAATTATTCCTAGTTATAATTAATAAAAATTGATCAAAGTTCTATTTTTTGTTCACTTACCAACTGTTTTTGTTGTTAGTTTCATTTCCGTGTCATATTCAGCTCCAATAACTTCTACTTCTACAAATGGACTTACCGTACCACGTCTTGGTTTACTTAAATGTCTGGCACCAATTATTCTCAAATTCACTCTCAGAGAGTCCGAATGAAATTCGATACTTTTCTCATATGGATTATAATCTTCTTTAAACATAAATTCTGGTTTTAAAATATAACCGCAATTTCCATTCATTCTGAATTTTGCGTGATTCAGTTGCATTGGTTTATCGCCAGTTTGATAATTTAACGCCACCATTTGAGAGCCAGTATTCCACATGGGAATAGGATTGTAGTTCGATGAATCGAATCGTGACCCTTTGGGATAAATTCTACTCAACTGCGTCTGAGGGACAGAGATTTTTAATTGTTTCTTAATTGTCGTTTAAGAGTTTACATAATTATATTAATAAATCAAATTCATCTGACCCGATATAATTATAATGATCTATTAAAAAAAAAAATCTTACCTGATGATATTTAATAAAAAACCTAATTTCTTGTTGGCAAATAAGTTTTTCAGCCTTTGTTTCTGGAAAACTGCTCATTTCATGAAAAACAAAACCCTTGGCTTTAAGTCTATCAATATTAAATGCCACTGATCGACAGTAAACGATGAGATTTGACATTTCCTTAGCTATTCTCCATGCTCTCTCCATTTGTTTATGTTGATTTTTCTAAAATACAAAAATAAAAGTTTTCAGATAGAAAAAAATATTATTTTGTAATTAAATTCAGGGTTGCCACGAAAATTTAATTTTGTTTTTCCCAGATTTCCAGACAAAATTTTGACTTTCTCCCTGACCCTGAAGAATATACCGATTCACTCCAAAAATTATTAGTTACTCAAAGAAATGTTCTATTACATTTTTATATTTGCGAATTTCTTTAAGTGTAAAATTATTTGACAACATCAATAACTTCTTTTTTAAATAAATACTTAATCATTATTATTTTTCTATAGGAATCAAGGATTCACGTTTTATAATAAATTTAAAATGACAGAGTGATAAAATCATTATTTTATATTATAAGAATATTGCAACTATAAATTCAAATTTTCAAAGATTTTAATTATTGAACCCTTTTCAAAATTCACTTATTTATAAAAAATTCACGCTATGATGCTTTTAATATTCAATTATAATTTAAAATTTTAAGTGAAATTAATTTTTAATCAATTTTTATGAGAAAATTTTTCGAGAATTCAATTATTTAAATACAAAGATAAATAATGTATTAAATAATTGAATATTTTTTAAAATTAAATTTTTTTGAAAGAAATTTATAAAAAAAATTGTAAAAATAATTGAATTCTTTCGGCGAATTAAAAAAAAAAATTATAAAGAATAAATGCAATTTTCTATCAGTTTATGTAAAATTGTACATAAAAAATAATTAAAACTCTGCTATAAATATTGTTATTTATAAAAGTAATTTAATTCTTGCAACGAATTTTATTAAAACAAATTTTTAAAGAATTGAATTCCTGTGAAGAATTTCATTTCTGAAAATAATTGAATTCCGGAGAAAAATATTATTATTTATGATATTAAATTAATTTCTTGTGAAGAATTTTATTCAAATTTTTTAAATAATTGAATTTCTCAGAATTTTTTATAACATTTTGAAAATAATTAAATTTTATTAAAAAATTAAAAATAATTGAATTCTTGTGAAAAATTTTATTTTTTGAAAAGAATTGAATTCCTGGGAAGAATTTTATTAAAATTTCTTAAATAATTGAATTTCTTCAAAGAATTTTATTTTTTAAGAAAATAATTGAATTGTTTCAAAGATTTTTACAAACATTTTTGACAGTAATTGTACTTTTCTTCAAATAATTGAATTCCCGTAAAAAAAAATGTATTATGTGTGAAAATAATTGAATTGAATAGGAAAATTTTATTAAAATTGCATTTTTTTTTACTACATCTTGTAAAGAATTTTGTCAAAATTTTTTTAAATAATAGAATTTTTAAAAGAATTTTATTTAAATTTTTCGAAATAATTGAATTTCTCATAACTATTTTTTTCTATTCTTTGAATATATTTAAATTCTTTCGATAAACTTCATTAAAAAATTAAAAATAATTGAATTAGTGCGAAGAAATTTATAAAAAAATTGGAAAGTAATTGAATTCCTGTGAAATTTTTATTAAAATTTCGTTTAAATAATTGAATTCTTTTGGAAAATATTATTAAAATAGTAGATATTAAAAATAATTGAAATGAGGAAAATTTTTGAAAATAATTGAAATTTTGCCAAGAATTTTATTAAATTTTTTAAAAATAATTGAATTTCGGAGAAGAATTTTATTATTTAAAAAGATAATTGGAAATTTAACGAGAATGTTTATAAATTTTTGAAAATAATTGAATTTCTGTGAAGAATTTTATTAAAATTTAAAATAATTTTGAAATTAATTGAATTTCTGGAAAGAATTTTATAAAATTCTTAAAAATAATTGAATTTCTGCTAAAAATTTGTTATTTTGGAAAATAATTGAATTTCTTCGAAGAATTTTATAAACTGTTTGAAAATAATTGATTCATGTCAAAAATTTTATTATTTTTGAAAATAAAATAATTTATGCAAAGAATTTTGTTATTTATATTGATAATTGAATTCTTGACAAGAATTGTATTACAATTTTTTAAATAATTGAATGTAAAGATAATTGAACTCTTGTCAAGAACTTTATTAAAAGTTTTGAAAATAATAGAATTTTTCGCGAAGAATTATATGATAATTTTTGAAAATAATTGAATTCTTTAAAGAACTTTTATTAAAAAGTTTGAAAATAATTGAGTTCCTACTAAAAATTTTGTTATTTTTAAAAATTATTGAATTTTTGAGAAGAATTTTATTTTTTTTGAAAATAATTTAATTTCTACGAAGAAATTTGTTATTTATAATAATAGAATTCTTGCGAAAAATTTTATTACTTTTAAAAATAATTGAATTTCTGCAATCATTTGTAACTTTTTCAAAATTCAATTTTTTTAGTGTTTTTAATGAAAATTCTTCTATAAATCCATTATTTTTAATAATCAATTAAATATATATTGACAAATTTAACTAATTTTAGAAGATGTGGAAGTATTAGAATTTTTCAAAAATCTAAGTTACTTAAAATTTATAATTATGTAAATTCATTCAACATTGAAATTTTATAAAATTCCAAATTGAAATCATTTGAAGTTAATTTATTTATGAAAATTGTAAACGCAACTCTTTTAAAATTGAATTAATTTTGAGATATTTAAGTAAAATTATTCATTAAATAATTAATTAATTTTATGATAGTTGTTGAAGAATTAAGTTATTTAAATAGAAATTATTGTCAGAAACAGAAAAAATTGAAAGTTTTGTATTAAAATTCTTGTCAATTTCATAGTTTGTGAGGCAAACAAAAAAGACCCAAAAATTCAGAATTTTCTTATAAATTCTAAAATTTAAATTTTTTCCAACACTTTTAATAAAAATCCCTGACTTTCCTGACTTGTGGCAACCCTGTAAATTTGAAACAAATGTATTTTTACCCTAAGACTTGCACTTTGAACAGCCTCTTGAATTTTAGTCATCCATTCTAGAGCAGATTCCTTCGAAGGAGAAGCAGCTTCAAAGACAGAATATAGATTAGAATTTTGTATTCTTAAAATCCATTCTAAGCCCGGATTTTCTCCAACGGACAATTCAACTACTGCTCCCATCAGGTCAAGCGAACCTTTGTGTAAATTCCCAAGCATCATTGAATCTGAAGACTGAAAAATAATAAAACAGAGCATTTAATTAATTTAATTTAATTTGAGAGATTCTTCATGAAACGACATATATTGTTGGGATAATAAATAATTTCTTCGATCTACTCACATCACTTTGAGATTCTTGAGAATCTAGTTCCTCGACATAGCTGGCAGGAAACCAGTGTTGCTTTTTACCTCCATAGTCACCTCTCCACCAACCACCGCTTTGACGATTTACGTTCGTTATAATAGCGTGTTTGCCAAATGAGAGTTCGCTATCACTTCTGGATTTATAATCATATAAAGCCCTTACAGTCACCTGAAGTGGACGAAAAATAATAAAATCCAGTCAGTAGAAATTTTCATTTCACGAATCAAATTTCATTCACTTTAATCATAGATAATTTATTTTAAAGGATCTTTCTTACTTTGTGATGCTTATTTCGGGAACAAGTTGTTTCTATTAAACGTAAAAAACTCACTTTTGAAACAAATGTCGTGGGATCCATGTAGCCTGGAATGCCGCGAACAGAATCATCGTCCATGTTCTGTAAAGTAAAGAGTCGCAATTACAGACTTCGCACTCGATATTTAATTTTAAAAAAGTAGCTATCGAAAAATTAAACTTGACGACAAAAAAAAACTCGTTTTAGAATCTTCACAAAACTGACAAAACTTCCATTCAATATTTTTTATTTTCCTCACTTTTTCCTAATTTTCATCAAAAATATTTACTTCTTTCTCATCCTGCTAATAAATTCAGTTCCTTCAACGAATTTTATTATTCATCAAAGAATTTAAATATTTATAAAAATAATTTAATTCTTACGAAGAATTTTATAAAACATTTTAAATAATTGATTTATTTAGTCTAATTTATTCGTTTTTAAAAATAATTAAATTTTACAAAGAATTCAATTAAAATTTTTGATAATAATTGAAAGTCTGTGTGGTATTTTATTAAATTTTTTTTTTAAATAATTGATTTCCTAAAAAGCATTTTATTATTTATGGATATAATTGAAATCTTGAGAAAGATTTTATTAAAATTTTTTAAAATAATTGAATTTCCAAGAAGAAATTTATTACTTTGAAAAATAATTGAAATTTTGTTATGAATATTTCTATTTATGAAAATAATTGAATTTTGCAAAGAGTTTATTTATTAAAATGCCTTAAAATAATTTAATTTTCGGGAATAGTTTTGTTATTTATCTTTAATAATTGAATTCTTTCGAAGAATTATTTATGTAAATAATTGAAAGCTTGAGAAGAATTTTATTAAAATCTAAAAGAATAATTGAATTATTTATTTATTTCTATAAATATTAATTAAATTATTTCAAAAAAATTTATTCAAAATTTAGTTTTTTTAACATTTGATTTCTTTCGCATAATTTTATTAAAATATTTTTGAAAATAATAAAATTCCTGCGAAAAATTCTAATATTTTTGTAAATAATTGAATTCTTCCAAAGAATTTTAGAAAAACATTTTTTAAAAATAATTGATTTTTTCTAGGAATTAAAATTAAATTTTTAAGAATAATTACATTTTTTGATCAATTCCTGTAAAATTGTATTAAAAGTAATTGAAATCCTGAGCGATAAATTTTATTATTTATGAAAATCATTGAATAGTTGCAAAGAATTTTATTAAAATTTTCAAAAATAATTGAATTCCTGAGAAGAATTTTATTATTTATAAAAATAATTGAATTATTGCGAAAAATGTTATTAAAATGTTTAAAAAGAATTGAATTTCTGTGAAAAAATTTGATTATTTTTGAAAATAATTGAATTCTTTATGAGAATTTTATAAATATTGTTTTAAATAATTCATTCTTTCGAAATACCATTATAAATAACAAATTTTATTATAAATAATTGAACTCCATGTAAAATTTTATTTGTGAAAATAATTGAATTTTTGTGGATTTTCGGGAATACTTTTGTTATTTATCCTTAATAATTGAATTCTTTCGAAGAATTATTTATGTGAATAATTGAATTCTTAGGAAGTATTTTATTAAAATCTAAAAGAATAATTGAATTATTTCAAAAAAATTTAATTAAAATTGTATTTAAAATAATTGATTTCTTTCAACAGTTTTTTTTTAAATATTTGAAAATAATTGAATTTTTCCATGGAATTAAAAAAAAACATTTTTTTTAAATAATTGATTTTTTTTGTGAAAAATTTCTTTCGAACAATTTTATTAAAATATTGGAAAATAATTTAATTCTTCCAAAGAATTAAAAAAAACATTTTTTTAAATAATTAATTTTTTTTGCGTGAAAAATTTTGTTATTTTTGAAAATAATTAAATTCTTCATAAAAATTTTATAAACATTGTTTTAAATAATTAATTTTTAGAAATATAATTAATATTATGAAAATTTTATTTTAAATAATTGATTTTTTGTGAAAAACTTTATTTGAGAAAATAATTGAATTTTTCGATTAATTAATTTTAAATAGTATTAAAAATAATAGAATTTTTTCGATGAATTTCATTATTTATAAAAATAATTGAATTCTCGCTTAGAGTTTTATCAAAAATGTTCTTAAATAATTGAATTTCCATGAAAAATGTTATTATTAGTGAAAATAATTGAATTTTTGGATGAATTTTATCAATTTTCTTTTAAATATAATTAAATTCTTTTGGGAAATTTGATGAAAATACTAGATATTAAAAATAATTGAATTTGAAAATAATTGAACCGTTTTAAAGAATTTGATTACGTTGCTTACGTTCTATAAAAATTAAATAATAAACATATTTTACCGTTCCTTTCCAACTCGTCACTTCCTTGCTAACTGGATATGATAACTTAATTTTTTTGTACAATGGATGTCGTTCATAATAATTAACTAGTTCAACCAAACTCTCAAACTGAATTGATCCAATAGTATACAAACGTCCTTCCAACATAATTCTGCAGTGTTTGATTTGTTTATCAGCTCTGGAAATTATCATATTAATAATCAAAATATTATATTTCATGAAATTCAAAATTTATAATTGTCAAGTGGCTAACAAAAAAGATTTGTTGCAAATTAAGAAAGAAAATTCGAAAGAAGGTGCAACTTTTGAAAATAGTCGAAAAATGTAAAAATAAAAAAAAGTAAATGTAAAAGTAAAGTAAAAAGAAAAAAAATGTAAATGTAAAAGTAAAGTAAAAAGTAAAAAATAATATCCGAGGCCTGTTGAATTATAGAAATGATTTACCTACCTAAATGATATAGCATAGGAATTGTACTCTTTTTCACTGGGCCGCACTAAAAATGCTCCATCAGCAGGAATTCTTTTCAGCATTTCCTCAGCTTCGGTTCGCGAACATTCAGAATGCCACCATTCTCTTTCTTCATGTTTACTTGGTTGTGGTACGGGATCTCGTAATGTAATTATAAACTCCTAAAATTAAAAAATTAAGTTAACAAGAAGCGGTTCATTAATTATTATATCAAAATTAAGTTTTTATTGACTCCTTTTTCAATGATTATTTCTTACCTGACTTCTTAATGGATGAGTTCTATAATGTGTAATAAGGCTATATAAACTGTCAAAGCAATTGGTGTCGATCAGATAGTATTGAGTTTGACCCATATCTTGTTTCAATTTTATTCGACAATGATTTACTTTATTCCTCCTCCAAAATGAAAGACAATAATCTCCGACAAATGTTACACATTGACGAACTAAAAAAGTACCATCTCCAAGATGGGAGTATTGCTTCAGCAAGTTCTCAGCTTCTTCCCTGCCATTTGCTAATTTTCCATGAAACCACATTTCACCAAAGTGTAATTCATCATTAGGCACTCCCTTTAATTTAAAGCAAACAAATTATTCGTCAACTCCTTCAGTTTTTTTAATAATTCCAGGGATCGAATCAAAGTATTCAAAAATACGAACTTTACGGACAAAAAATTAAAAATTACTGATTTTTATTTTATTTTTTTATATTTTTATTTTTATTATTACTGATTTTTAATTATTACTACTTATTTATTTTTAATTATTACTGACAAAAATATAACTAGTCAGAGTCAGATAAGAGAACATTTTACTTAAAATAGTTTATAAAATTTTAAAAACCATTTAAATAATTATTTCTTACTGTAATTTATTCAAAAATATTTTCATCATTTCAATTCAATTATTATTTTCTAGAATTTTGAAACTGAAATTCTTCTCTAAATCAATTATTTTTAATAATGTTCACAAAAGTTCTTTTTGAGAATTTTCAAATCCATTTCTTTACAATACAATCATTTTACGTGAAATTTCGATTATTCAAAAATTCTTCAAATATATTGTGGAAAGAAAAATTCAAATAAATAAAAAAATTTAATTAAACTTTAAAAAAAAAAATTAATTCTACACAATTGTTACTTAAAAGTATGAAAAATTTAGACTTTTCAACAATTTTAATTTGCAACCATTTCAAAATTCAATTATTGCTAAAAATGGGCGCTATAATGCTTTTAATATTCAATTATTATCAAAAAATTTTAACTGAAATTCATTTTTAAATCAATTTCTATTAGAAAATTCTACGAGAATTCAATTAGTTAAACACAAAAATAAAAAAAAAAAAAAATACTGAAAATTGAATATTTAATAAAATTGAATTTTCATAAAGAATTTTATCAATCGATTTTTAAATAATTGAAAAATAATTGAATATTTGAATTCTTTCAACGAATTTTCATAAAATTTTTAATAATAATTACATGTTTCGAGGAATTTGATTAAGAATTGATAAAAAATCATTGAAATTCTCAAATAAGTTTTATTCTTTATGAAAATAATGAAATTATTGCGAAGAAATTTATAAAAACTTTGTAATTGATTGTATTATTTATAAATTTTTATGTGGAATTTTTATTATTGATGAAAATAATTAAATGTTTGAGTAAAAAATTTATCAAAAAATTTTTTTAAATAATTGAATGCTTGTCAAAATTTGTATTAAAATAGTAGATATTAAAAATCACTGAATTCAGGAAAATTTTTGATGAAGAATTTTATTATTTATTATAAAAATAATTGAATTCTTGCCAAAAATTTGATAGAAATTTTTTAAAATAATTGAATTTCAGTAAAGAATTTTATGGAATTTTTTTAAAATAATTGATTTCCAGCTAAAAGTATGATGTTATTTTTTAAAAGAATTGAATTTTTGGGAAGAATTCTATTTTCTATAAAAAGATAATTGAATTCCTTCCAAGAACTTTATTTGACAGTTTTGTAAATAATTGAATTTTTGCGAAGAATTTTATTAAATTTTTGAAAATAATTGAATTCCTGCTAAAAATGGCTCGGTGAAACTAGCGACCCGCCGGCCGCCAGCCATCAGAAGAATCCATAGGCGCCGACACACATAGTTGCGCGGTGGCCCTATACCGTTCAATCAACGCAAAAACAACGTACGCTAGCTATTACAGTTTATAGAAAAAAATTGCAATAGTCACATTTTTAAGAGCAATAATCCCCCTTTAATTTGTGACCAAGAAATAAAAAGGAAATTAAAGAGGGATTAATGCTCCTTAAAATGTGACAATTAAAATTTTTTTAAATAAATTTTTGATAGCCAGCGTCACCACCCGCCCGTATCAGAAAAACGAAAATTGGAAAAAAATCGGAAAAAAACTCATAACTCGAATATTTTTTGACCAATTCTTTGTTTCTTGGTCGCAAAATAATGAAGGATTAATGCTTATTGTCATTGGACCAATAAGAATTTTTTAAATAAATTTTTGATAGCCAGCGTCCCCACCCGCCCGTATCAGAAAAACGAAAATTGGAAAAAAATCGGAAAAAAATTCATAACTCGAATAATTTTTGACCAATTCTTTGTTTCTTGGTCGCAAAATAAAGAAGGATTAATGCTTCTTGTCATTGGACCAATAAGATTATTTTAAATAAATTTTTGATAGCCAGCGTCCCCACCCGCCCGTATCAGAAAAACGAAAATTGGAAAAAAAATCGGAAAAAAATTCATAACTCGAATAATTTTTGACCAATTCTTTGTTTCTTGGTCGCAAATTAAAGGGGGATTATTGCTGTTTAAAATGTGACTTTTGTAATTTTTTTCTATAAACTGTAATAGCTAGCATACGTTATTTTGCGTTGATTGAACCGTATAGGGCCACCGCGCTACTATGTGTGTCGGCGCCTATGGATTCTTTTGATGGCTGGCGGCCGGCGGGTCGCTAGTTTCACGGAACTGCTAAAAATTTGTTATTTTTGAAAATACAGTAAACCCTCGTTAACACGAACTTGAAGGGACCGAAAAATTAGCAGTTCGTGTTAAAATAATTCGTGTTAACGAGGCATTCATAATAAATAACTTAAAGTACCATAATTAATAATTTTGCTTTTAGGTCGATATTCGATTGTTTTCTTTCACTCATAGCAATTTAAACACTATTTCTTGTATTATTTGACGGAAATACGTTTTCATACTAATTGATCAAACGATTAATAGAATTATTACATTATCAAAAATATTTTAAGGGGTGAAAAAATATTTGGAACAAAGAACTCGAAGTGTGATGGTACCAATTTTTACGCGTTAACCGAGCTAAGAACGAAATGAGGACCGCAAAAACTGTTCGAGTTTCGTGTTAACCGGGTTTCGTGTTAACCGAGGAAGTCACTATACAGTTTATATGCATCTCTGCCGGGACCGCAATTTTTGTTCGTGTTAAGAGAGAATTCGTGTTAACCGAGTACGCGTTAACGAGGGTTTACTTTAATTGAATTTCTGCGAAAGAATTTTATGAAGTGTTTGAAAATAATTGAATCATTTCAAATAATTCAATTTATAATGATAATTGAATTCCTAATAAGAATTGTATTACTATTTTTAAAAATAATTAAATTTCTTCAAGGAATGTTGTAAAAAAAATTTTAAACAATTTAAATCCTACTAAGAATTTTGTCCTTTATAAAAATAATTGAATTCTTACGAAAAATGTTGTTATTTATAAAGATAATTGAATTCTTGTCAAGAACTTTATTAAAAGTTTTGAAAATAATAGAAATTTTGGGAAGAATTTTATGATAATTTTTGAAAATAATTGAATTCTTTAGAGAATTTTTATTAAAATGTTTGAAAATAATTGAATTCCTACTAAAAATTTTGTTATTTTTGAAAATAATTGAATTCTTTAGAGAATTTTTATTAAAATGTTTGAAAATAATTGAATTCCTACTAAAAATTTTGTTATTTTTGAAAATAATTGAATTCTTTAGAGAATTTTTATTAAAATGTTTGAAAATAATTGAATTCCTACTAAAAACTTTGTTATTTTTGAAAATAATTGAATTCTTTAGAGAATTTTTATTAAAATGTTTGAAAATAATTGAATTCCTACTAAAAATTTTGTTATTTTTGAAAATAATTGAATTCTTTAGAGAATTTTTATTAAAATGTTTGAAAATAATTGAATTCCTACAAAAAATTTTGTTATTTTTGAAAATAATTGAATTTCAGAGGAGAATTTTATTATTTATATAAAGATAATTGAAATTTTGATGAGAATTTAAAAAAATTAATTAGTCAACTTACATCACTTGATTTTCGAACAGTATTATTTTCCTCATCGTCCATTTCCGATTCTTGAGATTTGGAAAAAGTGTCGGTGTAGAATAAATTTTGATTTGTTAAAACGAAAAAATGGGGATACCATAGCCTGTCAACATGATCCTCCAAGTAGAGAATACCGTTTTTTATGCTATTTCTCAAATCCACTTCTTGCTTGCTATCATCATTTCGCACAACAAACGAATCTTCATCCACTCCATCTGGCAATTTCTTGTGTTTAATTATAATCTTTTTGCGCAATATTTCTGGCGAAGGTAATGATGATTCGTTCTTGTCGATAGATTGCGAGAGTAACATGTCTCCAAACACCTCTTGCATTGCAGCTGCCATTTTACGTTGTTGGGGTAAGGTACAATTATCTTCTATAGAAAGTATCACTGGATAACTGGATATATTTAATTAAAACCTTTTTTCAATGGAATAAACGAAAAGTTATCATGCACAAAATACAGTACTTCATTGCACTTACTCCGATGTTGCAAACGCATGCTCCTTGATTGTTTTGATAACATCTAAAAATTTTATTTTTGATGTTAAAGTATGTCCATGAAAAATAAAAGGCATCCCGTCCGGGCCATCCCAACAGTCCAATTCAATGCATCTACAACCATTTCTCAGTGCTCTCACATAAGCTTGACAACTGCTTATGCTACTTATCTGATCACCCATCAGATATCTAAACATTACAAAATTGTAAAATCAGTAAATTTCAGTTTACCAAATAAAAGCGTTTTTTTCAATTACTTCGGAAAATTTGTACTATTCTTTTCTATAAATACTTGAAGAAACCTTTGACAAAATTTTGACATTTTCCCTGACCCTAAAGAATATTCTGATTCACTCTCAAAATTATTATATACTCAAAAAAAAATTTCTATTAAATTTATTTACAAATTTCTTCAAAAGTAAAATTACTCGAAAACATCAATTTTTTTTCATTGGAAGAAGATCCATTTCTTTATATATTATAATTCTACGAGAAATCAATTATTTAAATACAAAAATAAATAATATCGAATGTTTCTTAAAATTTAATTTTTACGAAGAATTGTATTAATAACTTTTGAAAATATTTAATTTATTTTAAGGAATTTAATTAAAATTTTAATGAAATTTATTATATTAAAGAATTTTATAACAATTTTTGAAAATAATTGATAACTTTTTGAAAAATTTTATTCAATTTTTTAAAAATAATTGAAATCTTGAGAAGAATTTAAATAATAATTTTTGAAAATTTAAATAATAATTTTTTTTTTTTTTTTTTTAGAATTGAATTTCATAAGAAGAATTTTATTAAAATTTTTGAAAATAATTGACTGCTTGAGAGAAGAATTTTTCCTATCTATTTATAAAGATAATTTAATTCTTGACGAAAATTTTTTAAAAATTTTGAAAATAATTTAATTTCTGCAAGGTATTTTATTACTTTTCAAAAGAATTATCTGTTGATAAATTTTATGAAAGGTAAATATTGAAAATTATTGAATTGAAAAAACTTTTGAAAGTAATTGAACTTTTGGAAAGATTTTTATAAATTTTTGAAAATAATTGAATTTTTGTCGAAAAATTTTGCTATTTGTAAAGATAATTGAATTCTTGACGAGATATTCGTGAAAGTTTTTAAAAATAATTGAATTTCTTCGAAGAATTTTATTACTTTGGAAAATAATTAAATTCTTGTGATGAATATTGTTATTTATAAAAATAATTGAATTTTGTAAAGAATTTTATTAAAATTCCTAAAAATTATTGAATTTCTGTGAAGAATTTTGTTATTTATCAAGATAATTGCATTAAATCTTTTACAATAATTTAATAATATTAAAAAAACAACAAACTTTTGAACATAATTGAGACTTGACTTTGACAAAATACTAATCTTTCAAATTTTATAAATTTCATGAAAAATTTCATCGATCATAAACTTCAAGATTTGAAACTTACAAAACAAAAGTTTCCAATTGAAAGTTTGAACGACACTTTGCTAAATTTGGTGTAAATGCATTATTAAAAGATAAAAGAAAAAAGTAGGGGAAATTTTGAAAATAGGGTACGTTTAGGGGCCAAAATTAAAAAAGGGGACTTTTAGGGAAATAGGGGACAGACTGTGAAGCCTGCGACATTAATAAATTGCGTATATATACTTACGTATTATGAGAAGAGGCAATCCAATAATGCGACAGAGGCTTCGTCATGTCTTGAAATATATTATTATTTTTACTATCCCAAATATCATTTTGTTTTGAAAACAGAAAACTTATGAATTCCGAAATGGTAAAGTATGGTTCCTGTACATCACGTTGGGGATCTTGTAGGTAATCTCTAATAAATTTCGACACCTCTTGTTTCTTTTTTCCCAGTGGATTATCTTGCTCTATGATTAGAAAATTTTGAAATTCTTCTAGTGTTACAATTTTCTCCTTTTTCAAATTGCTTAATAGAGGACTCCATTCTGTGACACTCTAAAAGAAGAAATTTTACTTTTTAATAATTATTTTAAAAATAAACTTTGAATTTGATAAATAAAAAGACTATGAATAGATATATGCATAAATTATAAAAACTGACTCACTTGATCATTAAACATGAGTTTGTGGTAAAGACTAACAAAATCATCGAATCCCAATTCAGATCTCTTCTTTATATCCACTTCTTGAAAAAGCTCCCTTAGCTTGTTGGTTGCAATTTTACAATGAACTTTTGGTAAAAATGCCTTTAAATCTTTTAGCGTAACCCTAAAAATATAGAATTATTTTTTTGAAATTTTCTTGAAAAAATGTAATTGAAAATTTTTTAAAATAATCGTATTTCCGAAAATAATTTTAAAAAATTGAAACAATTGTAAATTTTGTGAAACTTTATTGAAATAAATTTTATAATTTAATTAATTTTATTTGTTAAGTATTTTTGAAATAATATTTTTAAGAGACTTACATTTCTCGTGTATTCTCCATTGTATAAAACTCTCTTCTAAGCCATCTTTCTACTTGCAAAGGATAAGGAGCATTTATTGAGTCCTGTACCAAATGCGTTAAACCTTTCACCCACAATTCGCATTCCTTTTCACTTAGAGCTAAACAATAAATAATCATCTATATTTGATTCAAATTGTACAAAATTAATATCGAGCTTATGTCAATCAGTCACTTACCCATTAACGAAAGAGTTTTTAATCGGAATTCAGAACCATAGTAAATACTAAAACATTTTAAATTTTCCTTTCTTCTTGTATCTTCTGATAGTTTTTCAAAATCTTTAGTGTTACTACCAACTCTAATTTCCTTAATTTCTCTAATTTCAACTGTAAATAAATAATTAGAAGTCTCATTAAATATTTTTTTAAAAAAAGTACGAATGAACTGCGATTGCCTGAAGGTAAAACTAAAGTTTCGTTAAAAAAAAATGAGGAAAATATTGAGAAAAATAAAAAATAGGTCAAAAATTTCTTTTTTATTTCAATTTCAGGCTTCGTACTCGATAATTAATTTTAAAAAAAGTATCAAAAAGTAGCTTAAAGACAGAAAAAAGTAGTAAAAAAATACCTATCGAAAAATTAAACTTGACGATTCAATTTTTTTATAATTTCTTAATTACATTCAAAAATAAAATAGTTCTTTAAAATAAACATTTAAATACATATTTATTTTGTCTACAGGAATTAAAATATTTCAAATGATTTCAATGTAACGCATTTTTGAAATTTAACTATTTCTAAAAATTACAAAACTATAATTCTTTCAAAATTCAATCATTTTTTGTTGTTGAAATTTATAAATAAAATTATTGTAAACTTTAATCATTTTATTTTATTCAATTCTAAATAAATTCTTATTAGAAAGTTCTACGAGAATGCAATTATTTAAACACAAAAATGAATAATTTATTGAATAATTAAATATTTCTTAACTTTGAATTCTTATAAAGAACTTTATCAACATTTTTTAAAAATAATTATTTTTAAATAATTAAATTTTTCCGAAGAATTGCATTAAAATTTCTGATAACAATTAAATTCATTCAAGAAATATAATTAAAAATGAATTGAAAATAATTATTACACTCTAAGAAACTAATTATATAAAATTTTTTTAAATAATTGAATTTTTAGAAGAATGTTATTCAAATTTTTAAAAATAATTGGATTTTTGTCACCGAACTTTAATAAAGTTTTTAAAATAATTACATTCTTGAGAAGAATTTTAAAAAAATCATTTAAAAGAAATGATTTCTTTCAAAAAATTTTATGAAAATTGTGATTTAAGTAATTGAATTTCATGAAAATTGTATATTATTTATGAAAATAATTGAATTCTTTCAAAAAATTTTATTAAAATCATATTGAAAACAATTCAATTATTATAAAGATTTTCAATAAAATTCTTTTAAATAATTGAATTCTTTCAAAGAATTTAATTAAAATTTTTAAGAATAGTTTCATTTTATAAAAATCTATTTAAATAATTAATTTTTTAAATATTAGGAAAATTCTGTTTTAAATTATTGAATTTCTGTGAAAATTTTTTTATTTATGAAAATGAATTGAATGTTTGCGAAGAATTTTTTATATTTTTTCTTTGAATTTTTTTTATTGAATTCTTTTGGAAAATTTTTAAAATTTTTTAATTTATTAAATTAGTAGATATTAAAAATCATTGAATTACGAAAAATTGAAAATAATTGAATCGTTTTAAAGAATTTTATTAAAATTTTTTTAATTTTTTCCAATAACTTTATTAAAATTTTTTTTAAATAATTTTTTTATGTCAACTGCTAACAATTTTAAAGTAAGTGTAAATTCTCAAACATGGAAAAAAAGTAGCTTTGAGCGTAACAAATAAAAAAAAAAAGGATCCAAATAGTAGCAAATCGTAAAAAAAAGTAGTAAATAGTAGGTTTTTTGTAGGTGAGCTCGAGGCCTGTAATTTAATAAAAATTTTTAAGAATGAAATAATGTTATTGCCTCCTCCACGAGGAGAAAAATTTTTTGTTGATCGCAATGAGGAAGCAAAATTTTCATGTAATGAACATATTTATCATAATCTCCCATCTTGTTCAACTTATATTTACGAAAAGTTATTAATTTATAAATAATTATAAAGCAATAATAGAAATAAATAAATATCAACTTTTTGAATAACAATGTGTGCATAACAATGAAAAAAAGAATTTTTTAATTACATACTATATTAAGGTTAATATTTATCCCTATTATGCATTTTATTTAAATTATAGAATGTAAGTTGAAAAATTTCGTTGATAATGAAAAATGATTGTTATTTAAACTCACCAGTTCCATCGAAGGGTCTAATAGTTGCACTTTGTGACCAAACAATTTGTCTAGTTTCTCGGCGTATCATTAAAGTCTTTTTTTCCAACCTCTTGAAGAAAGTTGTAACTATAGTCCCTCGTTCCAGTTGACTAATAATTTGCTCCATTTCTGGAATTATTCCATTCATAGTTGTATCTTTAATTTCTCCTTCACTGTTTCAATCACTTTTAAAACTCACTTCCTGTTGCACAAAAAATATTATTTTTCTACTAATACAATTTTACAAAATATAAATTATTATTTAAAGAATGTAGTTCACTTACAGTTACTTTACTCTAAATGTATAACTCTGAGATTTTTCAATCAAATATTGAATATCCAGTAATTTTCCATAAGGATATTTAAACTGTCGCTATAAGGGACACAAATTAAAGAGACAAAAAATATAGTAACGAAAACGTAGTTTAATGAAAATATAAATGAAATTAATATCAAAGTTTCAGTTGCATTCTTCAACTTTTGGAGGGTAAAGAAAGCATTTATTGAACTAAATTAAATAAATAATATTACCAATTTCAATTTTTTTAATAAAATAGTTATTTTTCCATAAATAAGTATTTGAATAAAATATTATTGTTGTCTTCGTATTCTTTCATCTTTTCATTTGTTTACGAATTTTAACAGAAATCACATTTGAGTTGCTTCAATATGTAATTAAAAAATTCACTGTTGTCAACGGGGGCCTGGTTGTCAACATTACATATATTCTTGTTCATTGTTTTCATTGCAACAGACGTGAGAATGAACCATTGTGACATACTATAGAGAAATGAACTGCTTTATTTACTGCGTTTACTGCGCTTTCCACGCTTTCTCTCCGAGAGGTTTTTTTGACAAGTGGGAGTTATAGGGTATTTCTACAATAATATTTTTTCATCGACACAAAAAAATACTTTGTCTGACTATATCCTTTTTCCACTCATGAAATTGCATGAAATTCTGCTTTGCTTTACGTTTTCTGTTCAGCATGGGAATGCACCTTAATTGTCTTAATGGTACGGTCACAACAGCTACATTGGAATAAGAGAGACAGATACACAGCCTATCTCTCTTACTCCAATATAGATTTTCCATTCTGGACAAGTTTTACCGATCGCACAATCTATACGCTTTGTGGTTCATGGTGATAATTGTTCTGAATAGAAATAAAAATTAATTTATAATCGTTTGTGTGATGAGTTATAATTTTGGTGTTGGGATGTGTTTGTTTGTCAAGAAGTTCACAATTTTCATTGATTTGTAGTTTAGTTTGTTGTTTCTGTAAAGTTGTTGTCCAGTTTACGATTATAAAACTGAAATGTTATTTGGCAGTTCGGAAAACAATGGTTTTTCGTCTGGGCTGAATTTAAGCTGTTTTTCGGACGGTTGATAAAAAAGGTTATCAACTGGGCTGTAATGTTTGAATATCTGACAACTGAATAAAATATTCATTTGGGCTGAAACAAAATGCCTGAGAGTCAGGATAAAAATCAGACTGACTTGACTATATCCTTCTTTTTGCCATGTAGCAAACGAAATAGAAATGACCTACTCTTATAGGAAATCTGCTCACATGTATGTCATTTTTTAGAAATAATTTTTTCTAATAATTACAACAAATAAAATATTCATCCTATGCAATTATGATAGAAAATGAGTTTCCCAAATGGATAAGGTATAATATGAATTCTTTCCTAGAACTGACTGATAAGTAAGTAAAAAGTTGACACAAAAGATTTTTTGTTAACAATTTTTTATTTGTGTGTCTCAATTGTATCATATTTCACTTATACATGTAAATATTAAACATTTGTTTCTATTTTTTTTAATTAAAATAACATATCACAAGCTATAATTTGTATACAAAAGTTTTATTAAACCATACGGTTGTTCGCTCTCCTTATAATATAAAAGGACCGTTAATTAATTATTAACAATAAATTAGTGTTACATTAAATTATGATAAATTTACTTGTAACAATTGGAAACAGTTGCCTTCGAGTCAAAACGCTGCCATGGGACTCCACCCCTCAGTGTCTACGTGAAAATTGGTATTGGAGAATCGCCTTTACATGAGAGAACGTTATCAATGTCTGGCAATGTTTTTCGACACGTAATTTTGAACGTCGACCTTCGGACAGTCATCGCATTCTGGACTTACCTTAAAACATAATAATAATTAGTCCCCAGTCTGACGTTTGCAATAAAATCTGCGATTCGTAGTCTTATTTTAAAGACTAATGGATTTACAATGTTTCTGATATTTTTCAAACAACTTTGTAAAGAGCAAAGAAAATTATCACCATTTATCTATAAACACCGTACATTATTTTCCAGAAGTTACTCATCGCAAACAATGGAAGAATCTATTCCATTCACAAAGGACTTTCTATTCAGACAGGTAAATTTTTTATGACAATAATAACAATATATAGACTGAGTAGATCCTGCAATGTACAAAAATTTCGGAAGTTAATTCTGGAGCCGGGTCTTAGCAGGGCTGCCACTAGAGGGATCCCTTATTGCACACGTTGCACACTTGTTCGTCATACGGTAAAAAATAAAAAAAAAAAAAGAAGACGATATAAGACTACCTCTACTGTATACGTCAAACTTTAAAAGTCCAATAATGGAGCGTTTACACTTGCTGTCGAAAATTTTCCTCAGAATTTTCTTAAATTCTCAAAATTGATTGGTTGTCCACAATCAAATTATTGTGGACAACCAAACAAATTTGTACATATCGGAGAAATGGTCAAGAAAATGTTTTCGACGGAACGTGTAATAATATACTCCAATAATAGGGCTGCACCCTGGAGTTACTTTAAAAGGTTGTGATCAGTGTTTAAAAATGTATAAAAATTTTAAAAACATTTGTGACGCGCTCTCAAGAAAAGTACCGAAAGAAATAAAAAATTTTAGGTTATGTTTACAATTTTTGGAGTGAAAATACAGAAAGAGAATAATTGCTATTATAAAATATTGATGTTCAAGTCTTTATTACATCAAATATATTAAATAAAAACTTGTTTCAAATTTACATAATTAAAAATGAACTTTTAATCAAAATCTATTTAACGCAAACATAACCTATAATTCTTAGGTACATTAGGTACCTTTCTTGGGAGCGCGTCATTTTCTGTCCCATTCAGTTGTGCTTATCGAAGATCGAGAAAACTATATACATAAATAATATTGCAGATGAATTCTCTTATGAAAGGAATTAAAACTTATTGAAATAGTTGAAAAACGACATTAGTTTGGATTGAAAAGGTTCAGAATTGAGATATTTGTAAACATTTTAGTTTTTCTCAATTCAGTTCTTTTTATACCATAGGCGTGATATAATAGTAACATTGAAAACATTTTTGAAATTATTTAATATTTTTGCAGCATTTTGATCCTTACTCCAGTACTTACACGTACTTACTAGCTGATTCTAACAGTAAGGAAGCAATTATTATTGACCCTGTTTTAGAATGGGTCGACAGAGATTTCAATATTATTAAGGAATTGGGCCTATCTTTAAAATATGCAGGTAAGTGTTTTAAAATAAGTTTACTCAGACTCAGACAGCACTATATGTTTTCGCAGGGAGTTAACCGGGTTGAATTCAATTGTTAACGTTCTCAAAAATTGAATATTGTCTTTACTCGCTCCAGGGCCCGACCTCTCTTGTTACGCTACTGAACACCGGGTGAACCCCAGACAAAAAATTTCTATAGAATTAGTCTAGAGTGATTCTATAGAATATTTTATAGAATTTAACTAGAAAGATTATATTGAATTTCTGCACAAATTCTATAAAATATTTCTAGTCAAATTCTATAAAATATTCTATACAATACTTTATAGAATTACAATAATGCTAAATAATTTTCATTATTAATGATTAGAGATGGTAAGAAGCTTTCTTTATTTGTAATTACGTTTTCCAATTTTAGTGAACACTCACATGCACGCAGATCACATAACTGGATCAGGGAAATTAAAGACTCTTTTACCGTCTTGTCTCTCAATGATATCTCTTAAGAGTGGGGCACAGGCAGATATTTCCTTGAGTCCAATGGAAGAAATTAAATTCGGAAGACATCGTTTAGTTTGTCATCCAACTCCAGGACATACTCAAGGTTGTACATAATTTCATTGTGAAACACAATATGTGACCTGGTCCTGACCTGGTCTAGGAAAAGGGGATTTACGTGCGAAAACTTGTGTCCGAGAAAACAGCTATTAAAATTAAAGTTTCTTCAGTTTTCGTCAATATTTGTTATTTTGATGATTTGTTACTGGAGTCGCTGATTACGAATCCAGTGTCAGATTTTAAAAATTCAAAATGGCTGCTCCAAGATGGCGGACGTAATTTAAAATTCTTCAGATTCTATTAAAACTTGTTTTCGGGGAAATTCTGAATTCGATTTCATGTCCGATGAATTTTAAATTTTGTCCGCCATATTGTATCAGTCAAATAAAATCGGGTTTCTTCGTATTTTTACTCTTTCTTCACTTAGAGCAGGTCAGATATTTTAAAGTAAAATTAATAGTTTGAAAATTCTAAGTCGGGTTGGTAAAGTTCACAAGTGATATTATATACGCTCATAAAAGTGGTGTACATATATTTTTTAATATTAATTCTTTTAATCAACAGGTTGTATGACATTCGTGTGTCAGGAACAAGGAATTGCTTTCACTGGAGACACACTTTTAATTCGAGGATGTGGAAGAACTGACTTTCAGGTTGGTAATGCAAAAATAATTTATATCAAAATTCTTCTTACACATTTGCAAAATATTTAAACAATTTTACTGAAAGAAATTTCCCTAGATAACTACCATTGTTATGGCTTCACTATAACCATACTTTATTGCTGTTTTGAAATTGACATACAAAATCACTATACTTTACCCATATTAATATAGTTGAAGTTTATATTATACTTGATCCAACCATTTTAAAGTTTGCGAAGAAAAAGCATCAAAAACAACACTAAAATCAAAAAACAAAATTAAAAAATATAAAAATAAAGTACTAATATAAAGACAAAGTCACTAAGTTTTTTTTAATATAACATTTTTTTCAAACTTTTATTTCTCAGAAATAGAATATCGGATTTAAATGAAAATTTTATACACAATTAATGAATGTTTGAGTTTTTTTAAAAAAATGTCCATTATGTTAAAAAAATTATTTATTGGAAAAAATAATTGTTAATATTAAACAAATGAATAATTAAGTGTGTTTTCGATGTCTTTCGTAAATTTTTTTCCTGGACCTTAAACTATATAAATCAAGGGTGAAATATCTGAAAGAAAAAGTTGGTAGATTGAGATATTTTATTAACTATGAATTTTTTTGTGAGCGTGGTCGTGTTGATCCGTGCGAAGCGTCTTGATGTGTTGCTCCATATAAGTTCGTCGCACGCTCACTATGAATACCATACCGTGTAATTATCTTAAAAACTGAAACACAGTTTATTATAAAAATTGCAACCCTTCGAATATTCAAGGCCCACTTAACAAATTTTCTTTCTTTTCTTATTGACAATTTACTAGGATAACAATTCTGTAATAAATGCATTACGGTTAAATGACAATTGACAGTTCGGTTACTTGACATTTGGGTAATATTCATATACCTGTCATGTACATTTTCACTGTTTCCAATTTTCTTACAGGAAGTTTACTTAATTATTGTGTATGACAATTAACGTGTAATCGAAGAAGAAACTTGTACCCGTTTACAAGGAGTCAACTATTTTAACATGTTAGTTAAGGTGCCAACTAGGGACAGTCAAGTTAAAATAACATCGCAGTGGATACCGGAATGTCTAAAAGACGTCTTTTTTTAACTTTTTGGACCTTTTGGATCAGCGCGGATCAGGTCTCAGACCTAATGATGACTTCCAAAAAAAAAAAAAAAAAGACGTCTTGAGGACGACCTTTAGAGTTTTAAAGTGTTTTTCCAAGTTCAAATACGGTAATTATACTAATTATTATTATTATACTATTACAAATCTTTGAATTTAAGGTTGGCTTTGCGTTATACACTGATACAAAATTGGAAAAAAAATTCTTATGAAGTAGCAATCAAACCCCGAATTTTTGGCTCGAAACTGTGCTTTAAGGGGATGTTAAAGTCGATTGTATTTTACATTGAGCTTCATTGGGAAAATCGCATCGACTTTAAACACCGCCTTAAAGCAGAGTTTTGAGCCAAAGATTCGTCGATTTTTAATTTTCATGGCCGCCATATTGGATTTGCCATTTTGAATTTTCGAAAACGGACTTCATATTTGTATTCAGCCACTCAATAAACTTCCGGGTAACTTTTTTTAAAAAAAATAGGTTATAATTTTCTCTGAAAATATTTTTATTTAATGAAATATTACATAATAAAGTAATTTATTGTTTAAAATTTTAGTGAAAATTTACAAAAATACTTTAAAATATTATAAGTAAAGAAAAAAATTTGTTTTGCCAAAACTAAAATATCCTTTTCGTCTGATGATAAACATAAAATAGAAATGCAGAAAAAAGCGAAGAAATAGGTGACGCAAGGGGTTACGAATTCCAACAAAAGTTATGTTCTTTTTCAAAGTGCCTGACTAACTGACAAAAAATAATTTTTTACTAACTTATTAATTAATTAAAAAAATTTAATTTTTTAACAAAAAAAGTTAAAATTTTTAAAACCATGACATTAAAATTTAAAAAAATATTTTATATAAATAGTGTTGATCTTAAATGTTCATTACATTCTAGATTAAAATAAAATTATATATTTATTATCAAAGACCTTTAGACTTTGATAAAAATAATTCGAGCAAGTTTATAATGTTTTTCTCTATATCTATTTAAAGTTAATTTTTAATGTAGTATACCGCATATTTTTTTAATTTTTATTTTTAGGAATAGAATAAGGCATACATGATTTCGTGTGCAAAAGAAGTACTCAATTTAGATTTGGTAATCTATACAAAAAAACGCTTTTAACAATGTATTTTATCTAATACTCCTTAATTCTAATTTTGCTAATTTTTTTCTTTACATTGTGATAATTTTGATAAGCGATAAGATACAAAACGCACACTACAAATTGATTATTACTTATAAATAATTTTTTTTACACTTTATCGATATTCATTGTTTGAGATAGTTCCTTAAAAAAAAGTTCCAGTGCATATTCTTTATAGATTAGTTGAAGACCAAGGTAATTGATATCTATAATTTAATAATTTTTTTTAGTAATTAATTATATTTTTCAAGATAAATGTAAATGTTTGTTTAAGTTTAAATAAAAATTTTAAAATTACAGGAAAATGATAAACAAATGGATAAAAATATTTCTCCTAATTTTTTTGACAACATTTGTGGTAGATGCAAACAGTATTAACTTTGAAAGCAATGGAACATCTCAGGGTAGAATCAAATTTATAGATTATCGTTTGCCCAGATCAATAAGACCATCGAATTATGAAATTACGTTAAACTTTTCACCGGAACTTTCTTTTCGTGGCTCAGTAAAAATTAAAGCCACAGTTCAAGAGAATACGAATAAAATTGTCTTACACTATGGAAAATTAAATATCATAGGTGTTTCGGTTTTACATAAAAAAAAGCAATTGATAATACAAAGTACAGACTATAATCCTATTACTGAAAAATATTCAATTGTATTGAAAAATGTTCTTTCAAAAGAAATGGAAATTTTAGTGGCTATCGTATACACCGGTGAAGCTCACGATGATCTTAGAGGATTTTATAAAATGACGTACTTTAATAAGAAAGGAGCGGAAAAGTAACTTATTTTTTACCTTATTCTTAAATTTCAATTATAAAAAGCTAATGTTTGGGCATTTTTCTCGTAGACAAATGGCAGCAACTCAATTTAGCCCAATTTTTGCAAGACACGCCTTTCCCTGTTTCGATGAGCCAGCTTTTAAGGCACTTTTCAAGATTCGCATTCGAAGGCCACTTAATTACATTGCTCTGAGCAATATGCCACTAAGCAGAACAAAAACCATGTAGGTGTCTAGACTTCAGAATTTTAAGTTTATTATGTAATTTCACTCTACTTTCACTCCAATTATAATCCACATTCACTTCACTTTCTCTCCACTTTCACTTTTACTCAATTTTTATTTTCACTCAATTTTTACTTCATTTTCCCCCCAATTTCACTTTTACTAAAATCTCATTTTCACTTCACTTTCACTCCAATTTCACTTTTACACCATTTTTATTTTCATTCCACTTTCACGTTTACTCACTTTTTATTTTCACTTCACGTTTACTTCACTTTCACTCCAATTTCACTTTTACTCATATATTTTATTTTCACTTCACTTTCACTCCAATTACACTTTTAATCAATTTTTATTTTCAGTCCACTTTCATGTTTACTCACTTTTTATTTTCACTTCACGTTTACTTCACTTTCACTCTAATTTCACTTTTACTCAAATTTTATTTTCACTTCACTTTCACTCTAATTACACTTTTAATCAATTTTTATTTTCAGTCCACTTTCACTTCACTTACACTCCAATCTCACTTATACTTAATTTTTTTCATCCCACTTTCACTTTACTATCAATTTTACTGAATTTTTATTTTCACTCAACATTCACTTTTACTTAATTTATTTTCACTCCACAGACACTCCATAATCACTCCAATCTCACTTATACTCAATTTTAATTTCACTTCACTTTTTACTCAAATTTCACTTTTACTCAAATTTCATTTTCATTACACTTTCACTTCACTTTTACTAAAATTTAATTTTCGCTTCACTTTCACTCTAATTTCACTTTTACTCAAATTTCATTTTCACTCCTTTTTTTACCCAATTTTTATTTTTACTCCAATTACACTTTTACTCAATTTTAATTTTCAGTCCACTTCTACTTTTACTCAAATTTTATTTTCATTCCACTTTTACCCAATTTACATGTACTTTGACTCAATTTGTTAGTTTCTCTTCACTTTTACTTTTACTCAAATTTTATTTTTACTCCACTTTCACTCAATTTACATTTACTTTTACTCAATTTTTATTTTCACTTCACTTTCACTTAAATTTTATTCTCACTTCACATTCAATCAAAACTTATTTTTATCTCTCGTTCATTTCACTTTTACTTAAATTTCATTTTCATTCCACTTTCACTTTACTTTCACTTCACTTTAAATTTTACTCCATTTATTTTCACGTCAGTCACTTCACAATCACTCTACTTTCACATTTACTCAAATTTCATTTTTACTCCTCTTTTACTTTTACTCAAATTTCACTCTACTTTTACTTTTACTCAAATTTTATTTTTAGCGTAAAAATAAATTTTGAGTAAAAGTTGAGTGAGAATAAAATAATTTAAGTGAAAGCTGAAGTGAAATGCAATGAAAATAAAATTTGGATAAAACTGAAAGTGATTGAAAGTGAAATTGAAGTGAAAATGAATATTGAGTATAATTGAAAGTGAATTAAAAGTGAAGTGTAAATAAGAAATTTGGTAAAAATGAAATTAAAGTGAAAGTATGATTTAAGTAAAAGTGAATTGAAAGTTAAGTGAAAATGAAATTTAAGTAAAAGTGAAGTGAAAGTGAAATGAAAATGAAATTTGAGTGAAAGTGAATTAAAAATAAAAATTGAGTAAAAGAGAAATTGTAGTGAAAGTAAATTGATAGTGGAGTAAAAATAAAAAATTGAGTAAAAGAGAAATTGGAGTGAGAGTAAATTGATGGTGGAGTAAAAACAAAAATTTGAGTAAAATTGAAACTGCAGTGAAAGTGGGATGAAAAAAATTGAGTATAAGTGAGATTGGAGTGAAAGTGAAGTAACAGTGGAGTGAAAATAAAAAATTGAGTAAAAGTGAAAGTTAAGTGAAAGTGGAGTAAAAATAAAATGTGTGTAAAAGTCAAATTCGAGTGTAAGTGAAGTGAAAGTGGACTAAAAATTAAAATTGAGTAAAAGTGTAATTGGAGTGAAAATAAAAATTGAGTAAAAGTGAAAGTGGAGTGAAAGTGAAAGTGGGGTGAAAATAAAAATTGGGGTTAAGTGATATTGAAGTGTAACTGTAGTCATAATGAAATTTGAGTAAAAGTGAAAGTGAAGTGAACGTGGAGTGAAAATGAAACTTGAGTAAAAGTGAAAGTGGAGTGAAAATTAAAATTGAGGAAAAGTGAAATTGGAGTGGAAATGAAGTGATAGTGAGGTGGAAAGAAAATTTGAGTAAAAGTGAAACTGGAGTGAAAGTTCAGTGAAATTACATAATCGACCTATTGTTAACGATAAAATAACATCCATTTTAGGGCAACAAGTCAAATAGACATTTTCGAAGAAAGTGTTAAAATGTCAACATATTTGGTTGGTTTTGTGATTGGCGATTTGAGCGCAACAAGTAAAGACAGGATCAAAGTTTGGACCAGAGAAGATGTAAAAGATCAAACACAATATGCCCAAAATGTATCAAAAAGTATTTTGGAAACTCTAGAATCGCTATTCAAGCAGCCCTTTCAAATTAGTAAACTGGACTTGGTTGCTTTACCTCAAATGTATTTTACCGCAATGGAAAATTGGGGCTTGATAACTTTTAGAGAATCGGCTCTTCTCTACGATAAAAAGGATTCTTCTGTTGACGTGCAAAAAACTGTGGCTGAAACAATAGCACACGAATGTACTCACATGTGGTTTGGAAATTTAGTAACGCCAGATTGGTGGGGATACTTATGGCTCAAAGAAGCTTTTGCTGGTTATTATGAGTCCAGAGCTATTGATATGGTAATTAGACGAATTTTTAGTTTGAAACCTAACTCATATAAGTTTGTTAAACATGTAATAATTTTAGATTGAACCAATGTGGAGGATGAAAGAACAAATTTTACTTAATCATCAAAATGCACTACTTGTTGATTCTCTTCCATTAACAAAGCCCATTAGTAGAAATGTTGATAGTCCTGCAGAAGTAATGGACATGTTTGATCGAATTAGTTATAAGAAAGGATTGAGTATTATTCGAATGATGGATTTATCTTTCGGAACAGAAAATCTTGATTCCGCTTTATTGTTATATCTTCAATCGAAGTAAGAGCGTTATCAATTCCTTAAATATTTTCCAAAATGAAAATTTTTTGAATAAATGTTAAAAGTTTGAAATTTACAGGAGAAACAAGAGTAGTAAACCAGAGGATTTATTTGCAAGTTTGCAATTGAAAGTTAATCCTAATCGTGCTTCTGTAGAGACAATAATGAATTCATGGACTGAACAATCCGGTTATCCAGTTCTATCCGTTACTGTTAATAAGAATCATGCAAAATTGAGTCAAAGACCATTTTCTCTGGAAAAAGAAAATACGAATTTCGAATTAAATAAAAAATGGTGGCTTCCAATCAGTTGGATCACAAAGTCAACACCATCATCTGTTGTTACTATTGACAGGTGGATCAATGCTGATAAAAATGTCTTACTCGATAAACAAGAAGACGACTGGGTTATTTTTAATGTTCAAGCTGCAGGTAAGAAATAATTTTGATATTTGTAATTGACTTGTTTGGAAGAAATTTAAAAATACACACCTCACTAATATTCAAGGTTTCTATCGCGTCAATTACGACACACTTTCGTGGCAAAAAATAATTCAAGCATTAAATGGACATGATTTTACGAATGTTCCTACAATAAATAGAGCAGCTATTATTGATGATTTATTGAACCTTGCCAGGGCAAATTTGGTTGATTATACTCTGGCGTTTGAGGGACTAAATTACTTGAAACAAGAAACAAATTATTTACCATTTAAAACTGCCTTCAATGCACTAGATCATCTCACTAGAAAGTTGTCAGGTCAACAAGAATTTTCCCTTTATACTGTTAGTATATAATTCATATTTTTAAATTATATGATGTATATTTCTATTTCTATTTTAATTTTTAATTTTCTACTTTAATTTTACGTCCACTTTAATGAATTGTAGAAATATTTGACGAGACTTTTAAAAAATATTCACTTAAAAGTTGGTTTCAATGATAAAAGAGCTGATGACATGACCGCAATGTTATTACGTAGGGAATTGAATTGGATGTTATGTAATTTGGATCACCAAGATTGTGTCCAAAAATCATTAAATTCATTTGACAAGTGGAAGAATGGTGTCAATGCTAGGTACGTTTAATCCAAATTATTGGCACTTTCAACAATCTTTTATTCATTTTTTTTTTCCTTTTATTCAGGGTTCCCAGGAATTTGAAAACCGTCGTCTATGCAACAGCAATTAAAAAAGGCAGTGCAGATAATTGGCAGTTTTTATGGAACAAATACAATGAGACGAACATTGTTTCTGAACAAATGGAAATATTCAATGCTCTCTCGTGTTCACCAAATTCTGAAATATTGGATAAGTAAGTGATAGGTCAAGTTTTAGAATTTAGTTTAAAATAAATAGAATTCTTTATATCCACCTTGAAATAAACGTATCATGTATATTCTATATTTTTCAGACATCTTCGTTCATTTTTATTCAAGTCCAGTAATCACAGAATGTATCAACGGAAATTGAATGACTTTTTCAGCTCCATATTATCATGCAGTTTATTTGGAACTGAATTTGTAGTGGACTTTATTGACAATAATTATCAAGAAATATTAAAATTGTAAGTATTATGTATTAAATGATCTTAATTCTGTTTACTTCACAGTAAATTGTGAGGTATTAAAAAACGTTGCAGATTTAAATAACACAAAAAGGATTAAAATAATCCATTTTGGTGTTATTTTTTACTATGACTGAAATTTTACTTCAAATCAAAACCAAGTCAACGATTACTAACAACTAACTAAAAAACTAACCAATTAACTTAGTTACGAACTAACTTACTAACTACTTTACTAAGTAACTTACTAATTAACTCACTAACTAACCTACTTACTTAACTTAGTTACTAACTAACTAACTTACTAATTTTATTACTTACTACCTTACTAAGTTAGCAATTTAATAAGTTAGTTAGATACTAAGTTAGTTAGTAAGTTAAATTAGTAACTTAAGTTAGTTAGTTAGTTGGTAAGTTAGTAAGTTACTTAGTTAGTAAGTTAGAAAGTTTATTAGTAAGTTAGCAAGCTACTTAGTAAGATAGTTAGTAGTTCAGTTAGTAAGTCAGGAAGTTAGTCAGTTAGCTAGTTAGTTAGTTAGTAAGTTAGTTAGTTATTAAGTTTGTAAGTTAGTTAGTTATTAAGTTTGTAAGTTAGTTAGTTATTAAGTTTGTAAGTTAGTTAGAGAGTTAGTTAGTAAGTTAGTTGGTTAGTTATTAAGTTAAGTTAGTTGGTAAATTAGTAAGTTAAGTTAGTTAGTAAGTTAGTTAGTTGGTAAGTTAATAATTGATAACAATTTCTTTTTTTAGCAATGGAAATAATGTGGAACAAATTTCATCTATTTTATTACAAGTGTCTGAATATTTATCAACTCAAACGTTAATCGATAAATTTGAAGCAATTATTCAGTCACATTATATTGATTTTCAACCAGTAATATTTTCATTAAACAAGAAACTGGAATTTGCCAAGCAAGACTTTAAAATGTATCTACAAAATTCAAGAAAAATTATGAACTGGTTAAAATATGATAATGATAAGTCATATTCAGAGAATGTAAATTATATTATAAGTGAATAAAGTGAAATATTTTTTATTGTCTATATTTTTAAGTTGAAAAATATTTGTAGAAATCAAAAAAATATATTTAAATATTTTTATTGTTATTGATAATTTTTTATATTTAAAATAAATTGTTGAAGACATAAATTTACTTTATTACTGTCATGTTTAAGTATGTTTATGTAAGTTTTCGATATAATTACATCAGGGTTGCCGCACAGGTCAGGGAATTCAGGGAAAAGTCAGGGATTTTTATTAAAAGTACTGGAAAAAATTAAAATTTTAGAATTCATAAGAAAATTCTCAATTTTTAGTGTCTTTATTGTTTGTCTCATAAACTATGAAACCACCACAAATTCTAATACAAAACCTTAAAAAAATTTTCCTACTTACCAGAATGAATTTTTTTTAATATTATTTAATTATTTCAAAAGTTTTAACGCAATTATCTTGATAAATAACAAAATTCTTCACAAAAATCTTCCTGACTGTTATAATATTATAGAATAATAATAATATTATATGGAACTGTTATAATATCGAAAAGAAATAAACAGTTATATAGTTGTTGATTGTTATTTGTTGTTTTCTATTTAAAATAATGATAAAGTTAAAAATTCCATATGCAAAAGAATAATAGAAGACCCAGGCTAACGGGCGCGATCCAAGCAACGCTTGACCTACCGCGTCCGCAGAGCCGAGCTTCTATCCGACTGAGCTAAACCGTCGATTAATATTGTAAATTTTTTAAAATATGAATTTGTGATGTTCACATTTTCAATATTGCTTCTTTCTATTTAATACTGTTCAACGTGTCATATCCTTTTTCTTTTGTTTGTTTAGGAAGGATGCTCTGAAGAGCTATACAATTCGGTGCACTCAGTCATATATAAGCTTCCGGATAACTTTAAACTTTACCCAGCTCATGACTATACTGGAAGAACAGTGACTACAGTTGCTGAAGAGAAAAAATTTAATCCAAGATTGACTAAATCTCTCAATGAGTTTATAAAAATTATGAATGATTTGAAGTTGCCGCGTCCAAAAATGATTGGTAAAGTATTTAAAATAATCGGCATTTGACATTCTAAACATATAAAAAGTATTATAACGTTGATATTAATTTTAATTATTTTAAGATTTTTAAACAATTTAAATATTTATTTGGAGATTTTAATCCTATTTTTAATTTCTATTTAACCAAAATCAATTAAATGTTTGACAATAGGTTAGGAATATGAACGTTATCTACACTTTGAATTTACTAATTTTTAAATTTAGAGAAAATATTTTATTTTAGCGCCAATTTTACTTGAAAATATTCAAAAGATTAATTTATTTAAATTATAATTAGGCCAGATTTATTCGGAAAATTGTTAGGAAAATTCCTGACAAACCGCAGAAAGAGGGGGGTCAGGAGATCAACACATTAATTATTAGACTGTCACTGAATTTAGATATATTAATTACATTTTTGTTCAATTTAATTTACTTTAAATTTTAATTTATTTGAACAAATTATTTATTCGGCAGAAGGTCGAATTTTTAGAATTTAAATACCTCATGACAATGCGGTGACAAGCATCATTTTTAACATTCAAAATTTATTCAACAACAATTAATTGCCAATCTGTCGTGATAACAATAATACCGTTTTTACTTTACATTTTTTTCTTTACAAAATTTTTAGTTTATTTTTGGAATATTGGTCGAATTTTTGCAAAAAAGACTAGAAAATAAATAATGATATTTAATTTTTTTAACATTCATGGATAAATGTATATCTCCAATGTTTCAGACACAGCTGTTCCAGCTAACAGAAAATGTGGCCTATTCGATGTACATACCGAAAAGGAATAAGAAAGTCAATTAAATGCGATTTGCATAAAATTTAGTAATATCTCGACGTCTAAAAAATGCACCATTGACATAGTGTTTAAGTGCAATATTATACCGTTAGAATTATCAACTGAAAAATCGATATTTTTAGTATTGTAAATAAAATGTTTTTTCATACATTTACTTGATTCTATTAAATTTTTTTCAGTGTACTTTCTTTACAATATAGTTTATTACGTATTATTTTATATTATAAGAAAACCAAATAATATACGAATAACTTGTTTGTTTCTAAATATTCTTATAAGATAAGTTGAAAGAATTCAAATAATTTACTTGATGAAGAAAGTGGTTTCTTGCATTTACTGCAAATAACCACTTTCTTCATTAGGACGTCAATGTTGACAGTCACCCTGTGAAAAAGGCGATTTTTTAGAAAATAGTATGTATATATTGTGAATTAAATTAATTTTGATGACTCAGATAATTATTGGAATTGTTCTAGTAATAGTTTAGGACCAGAGAAAATATGCTTTACTAACAATTGTTAGTAAACAGAAGATAAAGTTCGCTTAAAAAATAATTTTTCATCTTCTGCTGATTATCGGCTGTGGTTACTTTTTATTATATTGTGAATTAAATTAATTTTGATAACCAAGATATTAATTGGAATTGTTCTTGTAATAGTTTAGGACCAGGATAGAATTTTTTGACTAACAATTGTTATAATCTGTTCAAAAGTTTGTGACATTTAGGGGAATTTGCAATTTTTTTATTTAACCTACATATAGCAGTTTTTATTAAAAATTCATCTAAATTAAAAAAAAATTATGAAATTCAGTGAAAGGTTTTACATTTAAAGATGTATTATTTTTACAGATTAAACAAAAAAATCTGTTTAGCAATTAGAGAATTTTTACTTCCTAGTGGAAATAAAGGAAAAAAATAACATTATTATTAATTTTTTCATTCAATATATTATCTTTTCTATACAGTATTTTATGGAATCGGCATAATTATTATTTTAAATTATATATATCTGCATATAAGAACCCAATGGGAAGTAAACGATTGGTTCAATAATGGGCCATGCTTGGCGAACTCCGTTCCATTATTGGAACATTAATGGCAACCATCATTGGACCACCAATGGTTTAAACTTGGGATGATCACGCTACTGCCAATGATCGGTAGCCAAGCATCGGGCCATTATTAGTTGCCAAGGAATTGCCAAGGATACAAAATCGATTTTCAAAAGCTTGATTTTTTATTGGCAGCCAACAAAAAACCAAGGTTTTGAAAATTGATTTTTTTTAATTATTAATTAAAATTTATTTTTAAAAAATATATTTTTGAAAAATTTATTTTAAAAAAATATATTTTTCAAAAATATATATTTTTTTAAATTAATAGAATATATTAATTTAATTTTTCACCTCTGGTAAAACAAAGGTGAAAGACTGATAAAAATTCCCTCACCGTATCTCACAGTGGAGGGATAACTGTGAATGTCTTTGCGAGAGAGGAGCACGTACTTATATAGAGCCAGTGAAACAGGTCACAAGCGAGAAGAAATCACTAGCATGCACTCTGGCGGCGCTTGTCGGAAGTGGCGCAACGTTGGTTGCCAAGCGCTGTGTCGATAACGTCAGGATATGCATGCGCGCCAGAAAACAGTTCCGACAAGCGCCGCCAGAGTGCATGCTAGTGATTTTTTCTCGCTTGTGACCTGTTTCACTGGCTCTATATAAGTACCTGCTCCTCTCTCGCAAAGACATTCACAGTTATCCCTCCACTGTAAGATATAAAGTGAGGGAATTTATCAGTCTTTCATCTTTGTTTTACCAGAGGTGACAAATTAAATTAATATGTTCTATTAATTTAAAAAAATATATATTTTTAAAAAATAAATTTTTGAAAAATATATTTTTTAAAAATAAATTTTAATTAATAATTTAAAAAAAATCAATTTTCAAAACCTTGGTTTTTTGTTGGCTGCGAATAAAAAATCAAGCTTTTGAAAATCGATTTTGTTTCCTTGGCAATTTCTTGGCAACTAATATTGGCCCGATGCTTGGCTATCGATCATTGGCAGTAGCGTGATCATCCCAAGTTTAAACCATTGGTGGTCCAATGATGGTTGCCAATTGTTTTGCCAAGAAAAAACCATTGGGTACCAAGCATGGCCCATTATTGAACCAATCGTTAATATTGGCAACTTCCCGTTGGGAAGACCTCTACCTGTGAAGCAGTGTTGCAACTAAACAATTTCTATTAGTTTTCTTACATCTATAATTACAAATGAAGAATTTGACTTTATCAGTAATTAGTGACATCAATTAGATGTCATTTAAACATCAAAATACCTAACTCTAAACCAAAGAGTTTATTAAATGGCATCTAATAGATCTCACTAATTGCTGATAAAGTCCAATACTTGACTCGTAATTAAAAATCTTAATTCAGCAAAAAGTATAGTATACCTATACATTTATATTTCTAAAATTAATTTTATTGTATTTATTTTACATTTTTCAGTACATAGAAATATAATTGTTTATATTGTATCAACGAGTTTTTCGGTTACTGGTCTAATTTTGTCTACTAGACAGACATTATTACATATTAAATAGTTAAATTTAATTGTTTCTAAATACTATAATTGAGGCCTTGGATCCAATAACTCGCCCGACGCTCGGAGGAACGCGCAACTGCCAGTCAGTGAGCAGTGAGCGCCTCTGGGCCACTCACTGCTACCCGACTGGTATTAGCGCGTGCCTTCGAGCGTCGGGCGAGTTATTGGATCCAAGGCCTCAATTATTATTATTTCTGAACTATTTTTCGGAAAGTTTAAAGGTACCTTCGTCATAAAAAAAAAGTTTTTGAGAAAACGGTTGTTGAAGCTGTCAAGCCAATGTTAAGATTGCTGTTTACGTATCTGGCATTAGATTTAACAAATTCGAGAATTTGAAAACAATCGAGTTTTCGATACATCATGAAAGCTAGAACCCGTCTCGGTTCGGCTTGATAACAACTCGAATCGATTTTTTTGAACGATAGGTGTTATTTAAATGCCTCTTTACATATGTAAAATTTTAATAGAAGTAATATTATTATAATAGTATTTTGCTTATATCAAAACGAACTAGTTAAGAATTGATTTTTTCTATATAGAAATATTTTTTTTGTAAAAAATGCAAATTATAGTAGGACACTGAAATAGTTATTTATGATACAAGTGCGTAAAATCGTTGATTATACGAGTGTGACGTTTGCAGCTCGAGCCGAAGGCGAGTGCTGCAAGTCACACAAGTATAATCTGATTTACGCACGAGTGCCATACAAAATTTTTTGCAACACTAAAACAACTATACTTGCAGCAATATTGCTAATATTACTGTAACTTTAGGTGTAGTGGGGAACTGTTAAATGAAGTATTCTAGAAGCTAAAATAAAAAAATGTGATTGTAAATTGTTAATTAAAAGCATTATTTCATTGTTTCTCATCAAACAGTCACAAGAATGCGTAAAGTAACCTTTTTACGCACTGAAAATCACTTTACACACTGCTAGCGGTGTGTAAAGTAACACTTTACACACCGCTATAAAAAGAAGTACTTTACACACAGTTTTCTGTGTGTAAAATTCAATTTTACAGGTTAGTGTTGCAAAAAAAATATTCTTGTTTAAAGTTAAAGGTTTTAAAAATTAACTTGAAAGTTAAATCGTTAACGAAAATTCTAACTCAGTTAATTAACGATGATTAACGGATTTACGCTTTTCTCTAACTATGTTAGGTAATGGAAATAGTATATTAAGCAACAAGGTACGTAATGGCAGACATTTATTTACGGTGATTTTTGTGACACGAGTGGAGGTCGAGGGCGCCCTCGACCTCCACTCGTGTCACAAAAATCATTATCGTAAATAAATTGGCAGCCTTTAAGTCGCGTGTTACTTACGATACTTTTTATTCCAAAGGCTATCTAAAAGCGCCTATTTTATGCCTCAGGCATGAACAATTTATAAACTTTGTAATCAATATGTGATATTAATTTTACAAGACTTGCTTCAAAATAATCCATAATATTTTTAACATTTATTGTTACTTGCATTGCTCTGTCTATTCCCAGAACAAATTCGATAAATGAAATTGCTTTTACACTTTCTAGCAGATCATTGCTATCTATGAATTCTTTGAAATCACGGTGCAGTTCTTGAAGCCATGCTATATTATCAAATGCATAATTCTTACTAAGCTTATACGATCTAAGTTTGTTTATATAACTTATAATCTCGTTTCTCAAACCACTCATTAAATTAACTGCTTCTTCAGAAGTCTTTACTTTATCAACAACTTCTTTATGAGACTGTAGAACATTTGACATAACATGTTGCAAGCTTTCAAATAATTTTATGTCCAGTAATTGTGACCGGCCTGCGAGCAAGTACAAAGAAGATGTATCAGAAAAGCTTGGTTTTACATCTTGGATTAAGGTGTTGTTAATTTTCTTTGTTTTTCTAATTGCCGGCATTATGTTATCATTGATACAAGAAGTTAGTTTGCCTTCTCTTTTTGGTCTTCTAAATATGGCAATATTATCTTCATTATTTGTTATATAATTGACGAAATTTCGAGAACTTTCAGCCATTTTTAGTTTAGTTGTTAATACAACTTTTTCCCGCAATTTGCTGTTAATATATTCATTATCAACGACTTCCTTATTTTCAGAGAACGGCACTTTTGTGAAAATGACTGATATGCTGTCATAAATATTTTCAAAGTTATTACCAAACAATGTTGCAAGATGGGTTAAAAGTGTTAGAAAAGGTTGAATGTTATCATCTTTAAAGGCATCATAACTAATAACCAACGTAAATTTTAGTTCATCAATACTTTTTATCAATTGATAGATATACAAGGCATTAGTAACGTCTTGTATTAATTCTCTATTATCACTAAATCCAGGACAATCCCACAGAGTAAAATCGGGAATTTTGTTCGATTTCCACTTTGTTGGAATTGTGGTTAATGATGTAGATTTGTTACCAATTTCCGGAGCTTCGTCTCCTTCGCTTTCCTGTGTAATCATTATTTTTTCGTACTTATGCGTTCTTACAGCCTTTAATTTTTTACCAATTACATAATTCATTAATGTACTTTTGCCAGCTTTAGCAATGCCAATAAAAAGTACCCCGCGTTTATCTGTAACTTTATTCTTTACGAATTCTATAGAATCTTTAAAAGTTTCTTCCATTTTCAATATGTCAGATAGATTAAAACTCTCTTGTTGGCAACTGATCTGTGTAAATAGTAGGCAGAGAGTCACTGTTCTGATCATGATGCTGTTGTGATGTACAATTTTAGTTGAAACTTATTATTACTGAAGATATTATGTGACCTAAAAAATAAAAATAATAATTGAGTAATTGAAGAAACTTTTTAAGTGGGCCATCTCATGAGATGAATTCAAAATATCTATTTTTCTCATATATCACATCTTTAAAATATGTAGAATATGTGGGTAATGCGGTCGTAAATATTATAAGCAAATGATTAAAAAAATTCAGTCGTTTTTACCCCTGTATTTATTAGTATATTTACGCTACTTGCGAGAATTGTTTAAAAATATACATACATTAAAGTAGTCAAAAGTGCACCTTTGTATTTTCCGATTTCAATGAGATAATCGTGGAAGCTATCGAAAAGATCTTGACTATAGCAAAGAGATCTGATGAGGGAAGATTAATATTCGGGAGTGTGTTATTTTTAGTTGCATACTTTGCAGCTAAATCGGCTTTTTCGTAGCCCGTGATTCCAAGGTGTCCGGGAATCCAAGATAGGGAGGCTGAGCGTCCCAGATTGTTTAAAATGTGGAGACGGTTTCTAATTAAAAGAATGAGATAGGATTTGATAGAGGAAGCGACACTTTGAAGTACACTGAGCGAATCAGTAAAGATGACTGTGTTTGAGTGATTAGAATTTAATATGTAGTCCAGCGTGATGAGAATAGCTATTGCTTTTATTGAGAAGATTGAGGCGAAGTGAGAAATTTTATGCGAGAGACATAAGTTGAATGAGGGACAAATAAGCTCAAGACCCGCTTCATGATCCTTGAGAGATTTAGAACCATCTGTGTAGAAGCGTATGGCATTTTTGAAATATTGGTTTGCAAGATCCTGGAAAATATTATCAGGACTTGTGATGATCTTGGGAGAAAATAGATGGTCTTCGTACGGAAATTCAAAAAAAGGGTGAATGTCTTTTATCTGTATGTTGGGGATAAACTTATTTATTTCGTTGAAAGCAAAAAGGAATGGGTAACAGTGACTCATATTGGAATTATGATCCAAAGCGTGAAGGTAGTGTAAGTTATTGACAATAAGATGAGAAGAGTTAGGAAAGGTTCTAAGAAGATATCTCTTGGCAAAAATCTTAAAGCTTGATTTCGAACTTTTTCTAGGGTTTTAAAGCCTTTTTTTGCTTTAAGGTTGTAGCTGTGAAAACCATAGTCAAAGTTGCTTCTAATTAAAGAGTCAAAAATTTGAATAAGGATGAGAGGGTCAGCTCTCGACCAAGTCCCTCTCAGAACCTTTAGTACGTTAAGAATTTTCCTGGATCTATCGATAAGGTGTATCTATCGATAAGTGACAAGAAGTCTTGTGTAAATTAAAAAGTTGATGGGACTGCGAAAGACCAATAGTAAGAGTTCTTTAGCAAATGGTATCACCATTAATTTTAAAAAACATATTTTTACAGGTTATAGAATTATAGATAAATTTGGCTGTTGGAAAGGAGATATTAATTTCTTTCAGCTCTCCCATAAGGATTGATGGAATTACACTTAGGAAAGCAACCTTAATATCTAAAAAGAGGCATGCAGTGACCTCTTAATTTACTCTGCCAGTCCATATTTCTGAAGATGAGAAGGCAAGACAATCTGCACACCATTCGTTTTTTCGAAAGCTATCTACAAACAATAAAATTCGATAACAGAGGTTGTGATAGTTTAATTCTTATAACAAGAACACAAGTTTTTTTTTATTTATTTAGCCATTAGTTTTCATGTATGCAAGATATCAAGTTCCAGTTGGTACCAAAATGAGGCTAGATTCCTTCCCTAACTTTTATCTCATTACGAGTGTAGGCTAGAATAAATATTTAAAGACGTTTTTATAATTTTAGGAATTTTATATTTTCAACATGCAAACATGCATTGAAATCAAAATAAATGGCCATAAATTTTTTCGTATGCAAGATATCGTGTTCCGCTTGGTACCAAAATAAAGCTTAACTCTTTACCTAACTTTTGTCTCATTACGAGTATGGGCTAGCAAGAAGATTTAAGTACGTTTTTTACGATTTTAGGAATTTGATATTTTTAACATGTAAGCTTTTTTTTTTTGCTTAGGGACTTTTGGGAAATCTGCCTACAGATACCTTGGATTCCGCACTCCAAGGTTATGTGTGGTTGGTATGATAAAACAAAAGGAAATATAAAAAAAAGTAAACGATTGGTTCAATAATGGGCCATGCTTGGCGAACTCCGTTCCATTATTGGAACATTAATGTCAACCATCATTGGACCACCAATGGTTTAAACTTGGGATGATCACGCTACTGCCAATGATCGGTAACCAAGCATCGGGCAAATATTAGCTGCCAAGGCATTGCCAAGGAAACAAAATCGATTTTCAAAAGCTTGATTTTTTATTGGCAGCCAACAAAAAACCAAGGTTTTGAAAATTGATTTTTTTAATTATTAATTAAAATTTATTTAAAAATAAATATTTGTCAAAAATTAGAGGTGTGCATTTAATCGAGTCGAATCAAAAATTATTCGACTCGACAACAGAAAATTCGAATCGAAAGTAAATTCGAATCGAAATACCAATTTGAAGTTTCGAATTTCGAATTGGCCGATTCGAATCGAAAGAAAATTCGAATCGAAATACCAATTCGAAGTTTCGAATTTCGAATTGGCCGATTCGAATCAAAAGTAAATTCGAATCGAACTACCAATTCGAAAATCGGAGTTTCGAATTGTACAACTCAACTCGGTTATTATTGTTAAATATGTCAGTTACCATATTTTTGGCCCAAGAAAGCAAAAATAAAATTAGAAAAATGTCAGGGAATGTTTTTCTCAATCCTTGTTAGACAATCTGAATTAAGGAGGAATGGTATACCTAATCGGGCCAAAAGTTTGTGACATTTAGGGAAATTTGTATTTTTTTTAATTAAGCTATATATATAGCACGTTTTCTTATTGAAATCATAAAAGTAGACATCAATGAATATTAAAAAGTATATATTAAATAAGGAAAATATAATAAATTTATTAAATTACATTTTTTTATAAAAGCAGAAAATAATTTTTGTTACTGTCTTTACGAATTTAAAACCTAAGAAAATAAAAGTTACTGAAATTTTCTAAAAATTATTTTCGGATTTATCGAGTATTCCATTGCAAACTTTGAAAAAATGCTATTATTACGTATATATGTGTCTTATTATGCTGTAATATTAATGTTATTAATTATAAACATTGTCAAATACCAATTTGTAATGAGCGTTTAATCGTGACAACCTCGCAATGCAAATAGTTTGTTTTTTGATCGTTGGTAACAGTGAGAAGTGTTATGATTTGCATTTATGTGGTTAAAAATAATGAAAATTTGTCATTTTTGGTACCTTTGGCGCCATCTCTTGGTTCTATGTACCACTAAACAGCTGTCACATGTGAGACTTTATATACAGTGTTGCCACGTTTTCTCTGTTTGTCTGTCATAAAATTAGTTTTCTTCCAGAAACTAGTTAATTACTTTTAAACTAATTAGTGAATAAAAAAGAACCTTCGTGATTAATGAAGCTTAAATCTTGACCTTCAAGATACAATTTTTACAAAAAATTCTGAATGTTTTAAGTATTAAATTTTTAATGATAAACATGCAAATTCGCGCTTTCTCCATAAGAGGTAATGTTAAATTAAATAATTTATAACTTGTAAACTATTTAGTGAAAAATTCTGAAATTTGGTGGGTCATTTTATTATATAAAAGCAAATCATTTCCCAAAATATCAAAAGATTCTGAATGTTTTGAATTTCTATACCATTCCTCCTTAATATAGATGGCGCTCAAATACTACGACAATACTTTTACAGGCAGATTCCCCTCTCTGGTTACACGTAAGGTTGTTGTAAGGTTGAGGTGAGGTTGTGGTAAGTTTACAAATTATGGAAAAAAATTAACAAAATAATTAATAATTTAAATAATTAATAAATATTAATTAAAAAAATGAATTTTGTTGCTCTTCTTTATTTTTGAAACCTAACATGAAACAGAAAATTTTGAAAACAAATTTGGCGGCACTGGGATTCGATCCCGGGATCGACGCGCATAAACCTAACACTCTAACTAACTGAGCTAAGTGGGGAACTGAGGAAGAGAAACTCAATTTTGCTTTTAAGGAGTAAGTTAGCTTCTTGGTGCACCTTAATAGCAAAATTGAGTTTCTCTTCCTCAGTTCCCCACTCTCTAAATCTGAATATGTGAAATTTCACTTATTGTACGTTATAAGTCGTCCTCTCGATCAATAAGTGCATATACACTAATAGATAAGTGAATTTTTCACTTATTCTGAGTGAAATTTCACTTATTATAAGTGTATATGCACTTATTGATCGAGAAGACGACTTATAACGTACAAATATGTGAATTTTCACATATTCAGATTTAGAGAGCACTTAGCTCAGTTAGTTAGGGTGTTAGGTTTATGCGCGTCGATCCCGGGTTCAAATCCCAGTGCCCCCAAGTTTGTTTTCAAAATTTTCTGCTTCATGTCAGGTTTCCAAAATAGAGAAGAGCAACAAACTTAACTTTCTAATTTAATATTTATTTATTATATTATTAATTATTTTGTCAATATTTTCCATAACTGGTAAACTTATCACAACCTTACCTTAACCTTACAACTTATTAATTACCTTACCTCAACCTTGACATATAACCTTACCTCAACCTTAACGTGTAAGGTTATCTCAACCTTAACGCGTGTAAGGTTACCATAGCCTTATCATATATACTTACCACACCCTAACATGTAACCTTACCTCCATGGCGGAAGTTTTTAGTTCACCTCAGGTCTACCACAGCAATATCGTGTAACCTTATGAGCCTTACGATTAGTACTCAACATAACCTTACTTCATACTATTGTACTATGTGGGAATGATTTTGATGATTTTATGTTATATATAATCCCAGTAGGCACACTTGTTCAAAAAACGTCCTAAGGATGTCTTTTTGCGGACGTCTTTTGGACTTGTACAAAAAGACGTCTTAAAGACGTCCTATTCATGTTCTATGTCTTGGCCATTAGATGTCTTTAAGGTGTCTAAAATACGTCTTTTTCATTCAACATTTGAAAATAGAAAAATTTCCATAAATAGAAACTATTATTTTCTAAGTTCAACTTGGACTTAGAAATTCATGAATGTAAAATTCATTGGAATTTTTCTAAGTTAAATTCATTTCATTGACAAGTGAGATCGTTAACTTTGTAGATGTTCATATCTGCCTTGAACGGCTGAGGTGCTTAAGGCGCAGTGTTTCAAGCCTAAGGTATCCGAGTTCGATCCCAGCTTCGTAGGAATTTTTTCATTATTTCTCCACATTTTAGAAAAAATAAAATTAAACTTAAAATAAATTTAATACAATATTACTGAATTTCAACTTAGAAAATGTTATAAAAGAATTGTTTATTTAAGATCTGAAGGAATGTAAAAAGGACGCCCAAAAGACGTCTAAAAGACTTCTTTTAGACGTCCCTTTTATGTCTTTTAGACGTCCAAAAGACGTCTTTTAGACGTACTTTAGACGTCTTTTGGACCAGACATAGAACGTCTTTAAGTTGTCTTTTTGATGACTCAGAGACATTGCCATCATTGTCCCCGAATGGTCCGCGGATAAAAAGGGACGTCTTTAAGACGTCTTTTAGACGTCCCTGTGCCCACTGGGATATAAGCGATTTGTGAGCTCTTTTGATATCGAAAAACGTACATATAGCCGTGACGTACAAATGCCCAAGTTCATTTTCTGTTTAACTTTTGAAGCACTTGATGTATATGAATTACACTTACATTTTATGATTTATCAAAAGATAATGAACACAGTAAAAACGGTAAAAACAAAGTCTTAAATTTAATGGTGCACGGAGAAACTTTTAATACCACTAATTCTTAAAACTGGTGAGACATTTTAGTATGTTAGGTTAGATTCAAGGGAAAAACGACATAGGTTATAGAAATTGCTATTGAGACTATCAAAAACACTCATTCAGTATATATTTTACAGTTCTTCATAAGGAAACTAACGAAAATTAGTATGTTGTTTTAGAAAGAAAATAATAATTTTTGCAAAGTTGGGAAAGCCATGAATTAAAAAGAAACACAACAAATTAATTGTCTATAGATACTCATAGAGACGATAGTGATACTTGGATCTGATGGTAGATGGCATTAGTGTACGACACTGTAACTGTAGGTAAATATATTTAACACGACGTAAGAACCTAACCTATATTAATAACGCACACACGCACACGCAAGTAAAGACACGACGATTTGCGACGATTGGTCACGGAAACCGAAAGATCGCACGATTCGTTAGAAGTACACAGCTGAATCGTCCTTATATATTAAACGAGTGGAAAAATATGTGCCTTCGAGAGAGAGCATTTTTTAAAATAACTTACTAATCAAATTATGTAAATAAGTAAAAGTCGTGAAAAAAATTATGTTATATTGAGGAACAGTTCTTGAATTTAATTTGGCATGAGGAGACATTCACGTTTATTAATAAAAGATTTTTTTTTTCATACACGTGTGAATTTCAACTTCGAAAACATTAGGGTTAGTTCGCGACGTCAGGTGATGGACTCGGTGATGCTCGGGCGAAATCGGTTAAGTCCGCCCGCAGTCCTTCCAAAATTGGTATGTTACGTTAGAATGTCTGTTATATATTCTATCTATATGTGGAAAAAAGGTTAGAATTACCGTATTATTTCACAAACAAAAACTAGCATTTTATTCTTTTCTAAAGAAAAATAAGACTATTTCTAATGCAGATAGTAATTTTTTTACACCGAAGGTTGCTTAATATATAACGAACTTATCATATTTTCGTATTAATGTTGAAATTATTAGCACAACGCACGAAAAATCCTCACATTCTAACGTACTTTTAGAATAAACATAACCAAATATATTTAATATTATAAAAAAAAGTTTCTCCGTGTGGCTAGTTTTAATTTTTGACTTATCCCAGATAGCACGCAAGCTTGCTGCAAACTTGCAGCAAAACTTGCACTGCAAGTTTTGCAAGATTTCAGTGCAAGTTTTCTGCAAGTTTGCAGCAAGCTTGAAATGTCTGGACTGCTGCAAACTTGCACTTTGCAGCAAGGTTGCAGCAAGTTTGCTGAAAGCGTTCTACAAACTTGCTGTGCAAACTTTCTGCAAGCTTGCAGTGCAAGTTTGCAGCAGTCCAGACATTTCAAGCTTGCTGCAAACTTGCAGAAAGCTTGCACTGCAATCTTGCAAAACTTGCAGTGCAAGTTTGCTGCAAGTTTGCAGTAAGCTTGCGTGCTATCTGGGATCTTAAGCAAACAACTTTATTTAATCATAAAATCTAACTGAAAATTAAAGTTAGTTGTACTCTTACAGGTTTCAGTGTACATTGTTAGTACTTTTGTACAAAAGGGCTCGTTTGAACCCGTATAAAATTGAATAAATAAATAAATAATGGTCTAACCCAAAACGAAAATTAGATTAGGTAGCCAATTTATTATAGCGGGATAATATTTTATTATATTATAATATTACCTGTTTAAATGGTGTCCGGAATAAGTCTATCTGTCAAAAGTTACTTAAGCTGACAGTAGTGTAGTTTATTATTGATTTTACAATATTGGTGCAAAATTAAATTCTTTTTTTTCATTAAATTGAACAATTAGATAAAGTTTATTAGTTTAAGTTGCTCAAACTCTACAGCCCTTTCGCAAAAGACTAAAAATATAACGTTCAGAAATATTTAATAATTTCACAAATTTTCACATTTCTCTAAAGAACATGTAATAAACTTAAGTTATCATTGGATTTTATGTTCTATTAATCAATAGAAAAACTACATATCATTTGAAACCATTAGATATAAAGAAATTGTTTATACACGTGTATACGGAAAACTTTTTTCATATCTTGAACATTAACAGCGACGCATCGTGAAAAAGTAATTTAAAAATTCATCGAAATTAAAAAAAATTTGAAATAGATAAATAGAAAAAAGGGCCCCGCACCAAATACATGGAAAAAATACTCTCGGTCAAATTTCTTGCAATTTTTAAATCTTGTAGCTTTCGATCTCCTGAATAAAAAATGTAAATGATAAAATGCAAAAAAATGAACAGATTTTTTGTAAAATAAGGGTAAAGTTGAAAATTCGCAGTGAAACAGATGTATTGTTTTTATTATCCAAAAGTTTTTATTTTCAGTTTAGAGAGTTGAGACTAAATGATACATTTTTTAACAATGAAATATTTTCACAATTTTTTTAATAAGGCAACGAATCAAAGAATTGCGTTTTGTAAATATAGGAGTTCGAATATTATTTTTATTGGACAAAAGTTTTTATTTTCTGTTTAGAGGGTTGAGACTAAATGATATATTTTTTAACAATGAAATATTTTCACCATTTTTTTTATTAAAGCAACGAATAACGAGTTGCTTTTTGTAGACAGGAGTTCGAATATTATTTTTATTGGACAAAAGTTTTTATTTTCTGTTTAGGGGGTTGAGACTAAATGTTATATTTTTTAAAAATGAAATATTTTCACCATTTTTTCAATGAGGCTAAAAATCAAAGAATTGCTTTTTGTAAATAGGAGGAGTTAAAATATTATTTTGTTTAAATCTGAAATAAAAGTTTCAACCCCTTTACAGAAATAATGATTTTTGACCAATAAAAAATAAAATTCAAACTCCTCCTATTTAGGAAGTACAATTTTTTTCATTATTCCATGGAAAGAAATGGCATTATTTATTATTAGAACATTTATTTTTTTTAAATACATATAATATTTGGACTCAATCTTTAAAAAATGAAGATTATTGACCAATAAGAATCCTCTTATTTATTGAAAGTTTTTCCTTTCGTTGGTTTTCATTCGAGTTTTATGTGAATTCAATGTATTTTATAAAAAGTTGTCCGCCATATTGAAAGCGACATATTGGATTTTTAATAACTAACATTGCATTTGTAATCAGCGACCTCAAGAACCCTTGAGTAACGTGTTTTAAACTAGGTAATTCACTTATTTTGGTTTAACTCATGTTTTAGTAACTACACCTGTTTCACTGCGAATTCTCAACTTTAACCTTATTTTACAAAAAATCTGTTCATTTTTCTGCATTTTATCATTTACTTTTTTTATTCAGGAGATCGAAAGCTACAAGATTACAAAGTTGCAAGAAATGTGACCGAGACTTTACACCCTGTCGTTAGCTAATATCTAAAGCACCAATTTTGTACATGTCGGATAAAAAAAAAATTAATTAATAAGAAGTACAGTAAGTACAAAAAATTAATTTGACTGTTAGCATAGTGATTAAGGATATGAAAAACATTTTCTTTACATATATGTCGTTGAAGTGAGAATGAATTTGTAAGTGGAGTGAGGGTGAAAGTAAAATAGAATTAACTTTACTATCGGTAAAAGACGAAAGTAAGCTTATGGGCAAGATAGTAAGTGAAAATAAAAGAAATTAATTTTTAGTTAATGTTTTGGTAAAACTGCGAGTAAAAGTGAAAAATAATTTTATTTTCAGTGAAAGTGAATGTGAGAGTGTATGCAATAGCATACATTAGGTCTGTTCTCGTTGCCTGCACTGGCCTGCACTAAGTGTGACTTTTAGACCACCTCAAGAGTAGGTGCAGAAAGTGTAGCGAAATGTATGGTAAAATTGCGTCACATCCGGCAAAGAGAACAGCATAGTGTAGGTTAGGTGTTACTGTTAGGCTGCGGTTACACCTCTGCAGGCAGCCTGCCTGCCTGCAGGTTGTCATGGTAACGTACAAGAGTAAGAGAGTCAGTGATTTCAAACTTCTCCCTTACTCTCGTTGCTCCTGCCTGCGCAGGCAGGCAGCCTGCAGAGGTGTAACCGCAGCCTTACATTTCAACTTATTGCATTGTAACCTTGGCAATACTTCAGTCCACCCTCGTTAGCTCTAATCTATCTATCCACGACATTGTGTGAGGCGTTCGTTACTATTCTTATCTACGGATGGCGCCACTTCTGTTCACTAATAAATGGAAAGTGTCGTGTCGCAATATGCAGTGTTTCATTAGTGTCCGTTTTTGTTTACTAGCTCTTCCGACGGCCGCAAGCGGCCGTCTACGGTGCTAGTTTTAATATGTCCATTGTCCCAGTCCATTATTTCATTAATAATAATATTCAAATTTTTTCAGTTCATAATTTGCTTATTTATATTTGAAATGTTGACGTTTTTTTTTGACAATGCAAAATAAGATTTATTATGAGTACTTTCTCTTAACAAAAAAAAAATTTTATATTCGCGCTCTTTTTAAATAACATACGACTGCAGCGCCACCTTCACATGTACAAACAATTTTAAAAACACCCTTCTATTAAGATTTTACATTCTCATTGCCCATTCTTTACTTCGATACTTTTCGATACATTCGACCTTTCCACTCCATGTCTTTTTTAAGAAAGGAGGAAAGGAGGATTCTACTGAATGTGTTTTCAGGTATTTATTATTTATTTTCTATATTTCTATGAATTTAATAATTTTAATGACTTTTATAACTAATTTAAAGTGCATTTAATAAAGCATCGTCGAAGTTTGCATTATAATTTATGCATTTTTTTCGTAAATTTATTTTATTTACGTTAACATAACCTCAAATGTCAACATTATTTATCTTATTTGTATTCTATTTTTTGACGCTTCGCATTGCTGAAAAATGTGTGATCTTAAAAGCATTTTATAGTATTCATTATATTTATTATTTTTATGTTTTAGAATGGGAAAAAGTAGACAGTCGCTGGTTGCGAATCATTACATGGGCCTTTCTTTGGTTTTTCGAATTTTCCCAGAAATTCAAAACGTTTTCTTAAATTGATTGTTACTACAAGAAATGCTCCGTTATTAAAATTACCTAAAAAATTAAAAAACCATTCCATTTTTAAAAAACACTCTCCTCCTAGATTCTGTTGTTTGACCGTTTGACCGCGAGAAAAACCAGGAATAAGCCAGGAATTTTTTCACCAAATTAAAAAAAGTTGTATTATTTTAATTTGTTTTTAAAAAATCGCTTTTTATTTCAATTTTTATAGATTTTTTTTACCCGGATTTTTTAAAATGGATTTTCAAAAAAAAAATTCGTTCGGAAATCCGTATGGAAATTCTTTTGAAAATTTCTTTAAAAATTTTCAGCCAAATTTCCTTACGAATTTCGTTCGAAATTCAAACGAATTGCGAACAAATTTATTTGGAAAATTTCTATAAAATTCTGCTCGGAAATTCGTATGGAATTCCGCACGAAATGTCAACTGAAAATTTCTTCAAAAATTTTCAGCGGAATTTCCATACGAAATTCTTATGAAATTACGAATTAGCGAATTACGAACGGATTTATTTTAAAAAATTTTGATAAAATTCTGCTCGGAATTTCGTATGGAAATTTCGCCGAAAATTTTGAAGGAATTTTTAGCTGACATTTCGTGCGGAATTCCAAACGAATTTCCTAGCAGAATTTCATAAAAATTTTCCAAAAAGAATCCGCTCGTAATTCGATCGAAATTCGTAAGGAATTTTCGCTGTAAATTTTTGAGGAAATTTTTAGTTGACATTTCGTGCGGAATTCTAAACGAATTTCCGAACAGAATTTTATAAAAATTCTCCAAAAGAAATCCGTTCGCAATTCATTCGAATTTCGTATGGAAATTTCGCCGCAAATTTATGAAAGAATTTTTAGCTGACATTTCGTGCGTAATTCCATACGAATTTCCGAGCAGAATTTTATAAAAATTTTTCAAAATAATTTCGTTCGTAATTCGATCGAATTTCGTACGAAATTCGTAACGAAATTTTTTTAAGAAATTGTCAAAAGAATTTCCGTACGAAATTCCATACGGATTTACGAACGAATAGACACCCTCGGAAATCTTCTGTCATTTCCGGTGTCAATCGCCCAATTCTCGGTAGATGTTCTGGATCTCGGGAAAAATTTGGAAAAGCAAAAAATGGACCACGTGAAGATTAGCAACTAGCGACTGCACACTTTTTGACCATATCATAAAAATTCACGTAAAGCAGATTGAAACAATTATTAATATTGCAAAATTCTTTTAGGTTTACACATTTTTAAGTGAAAACTACATGCAAAGCAGCAACCGTTGTTGTTATGAATATGGTTATATCATAGTAGCTGTTTATATTGCAATGGTTGCTTTGAAAATAGTAACCATAAATTAATATAATTTAATAATTCACTAAAGCTTCAGTTTTTATGAAAATATTTCTAGAAAATTATTATGAAGTTGAAACTGATATCCATTTATCAACACCCACATAATTTTGGGAATTAAGTCTTAACGTTAAACATATTTATGAAGTTAAAATTTTCATCCAATTAACGTACGTGCACTTAATTTTTCAAAATTTTATGTTCGTTTTAAGCAAAAAAAAATTTAACTGTAAAATTCAATTTTAAAAATTAAGTGGGTGTTGATAACTGGGTGCAAGTTTCAACTTTACAAAATTTTTCTGAGATTTTCTTGAGAGTTAATTATTTATTTTATTTTTTTTATGCCTCGTATAACCTTATAATGTAGGTGCTTTTCGTTTGCTTCTTTTTACTGATTTTAAAATGAATTTTAAGTTTTGGACATTTTAAATGCTTTCCTAGGCCACTGTGTTATGGCATATAAGAAAATTCCTACTTTCGTCGTTAGATGTCCTTCATAGTTTGAGTGTTGTTCTCAGTATAATAATTAATTAGATTTAATTTAATTTACCTCAATTAATTAAATAAAATGAATAAAAAACAAATTGATTAAAGTTTTAATTAAATTTTTGAAAAATTTATGAAATACCATTTTAATTTTTTTTTATAAATTTCAGATATTTCGAATGAATATCACAATCTTTTTACAAACATAAAAAATTCAAGGATTTTTAAAAGAAAGTTATTTATTTTTAATCTTTGCGACTTATCTTCAACTTTCTTATTGGTAGACAACGCATAAAATCCAAGTATCTTTATGTGTAGAATGTCGTAACTTTCCAGTATGTTTATCAATCCTACATTTCGCCATTTGCAACGTTGCAAATCTAGTTGAAAAACGAAGAAGAAAGGAGTCTTAAATATTATTAGTGTTTTTCAAAAATACTTGAAGCTAACATACTGTAAGTACCTGCTTGCGCAAGATTAAAATATGTAACAATTTAATTAAACCATTTTAAACTATTAAAATATTTTTTTTAATGCGCGAACTATAAAAGACCAAATATTTAAAATTCAGGGATTGTCTGCTATGTACAAATGGAGGTCGGATTTTAGTAAGAACCCCACTAGTATACTACATTTAAAAAAGAGCTCCAAAACTTGAAAAAATAGTTGGTTACTAGTTGATTTTGTCACGCTTGTGTTGATGGGGTCCCGACTAGAAATTTTTTAATTTAAGATATTAATTATTGAAGTTTTCATTTATTTTCACATTATTAACGAGCATTGTACACTAAACATCTGAAACTAGAATTTAAAAATCTCGTTTTTTTTTGTTAAAATTATTTAAAAATTGCGACTTACTAGGTTTTTACTATGAACAGTAAAATGGCGTTCCACGCGTCGTGGCCCAGACTGGCAAAAACATCGAAATGGCGTTCCTAATCAAACTTGATTTTTAAACTCTACTTTTAATTATTAATTACAAAGCAATATTTCTATATTGTAGACATCAGAGAACAATTTAGACGTCTATTAGTTGTCTTTTTGACGACTCCGAGGCAATACCATCATTACAATATGATGGTATTGTCTATGGTATTGTTAACGCATGGACCTAAGAAATAAATGGACACAGCACAAAGTCCTACTTTAGACGAGGGGGGTGTTACACATCATCGGTAAAGGGAAATGATTAGGTGGAGGCTCGTGGATTGGTTGATTTGGGCGCTTGCGCCGCGCATAATTTAAAAAGGGAAATCTAACTATAAAACATAACCTGCAAAAAAATTACATTCCAAGAAATGCATTTCCTAATAAAAATATGCAACAAATTTGTTAGATTCATCATTTGGTGAATATTTAAAAATAATATATGCTACTCTTAATAAAATATGTATGAAGAATAGATTTTCTTATCGTCTTATAGTTTATTCTTTACTTTAACAATTAAATACCTATTATATAATATTTATTACTTAATAATTTGTAATTTACTATTGATTAAATCACTGTATCTATTATTTGTCCCTGTATCATTATTTTTTTTAATATAAAAAATATAAACTTTAAATAAATAAATTTTAACTAAAGGAATGACGTGAAATAGGTAAACAAACATCATTTTCCAACTAAAATTTTTCTGAAACACAGACACACTTTTTACAAAACCTGCCAACGCACTACAGACAAGTACATAGCACATTCTAAATTACAATAATCGAAAAGATTTTTTAAATGAAAAATTGGAAAGGTTGGAAAGTAACATTGACAGGCTGCAAGAAGTGCTTATAGCCAGTGGCCAGTAGAGGGCAGAAGCATGCAGAGCGAGCACAATGGCACAGCTATTATGATATCGTTTGCTTTATACATCACCTTCCAATTTTTCATTTTATAACCGCATTACTCCATGAATCTGAACAATATTTTCGATTATTGTAATTTAGAAGATGCTTACCTATTGTAGTTGACATATTTTGTAAAAAGTGTCTGTGATTATTTAGAAATTAGTTGTAAAATGTTTGTTTACCTATTTCACGTCATTTAAACCAGTCACTGCCTTATTCTGTTGGGCGATAATCAAGGGTCTCACATAACCTCGAAATATCAGAGATCTTCCAACACCGTTAATCATATTTAATTCATTATAATATAATTAAAAGAAACATTAACTATTAATTTCTGGTGATAGTTTAGAGTTATCAACGATGACAACAAACAAATATGTACGTTATCGTCTGCTATACATGTGACAAAAGATTGACCAATTACCGAGTCTCCACCAATTCATGCGCAATAAACTGTTTCCCCCTTACCTACGACGGTCTAGACCCCGCAGCTTAGTGCTACGTCCATTTACTTCTTAAGTCCATGTGTTAACGGCAAATGGCTGTAAAACACGTCTTGCCGCCCGTCATTACGAAAACTTCTCGTCCACGTGGTATATGAACGAACCTTAACAATCAGCCATTTGTAAAAATTAAACGTTATGTTTTTATTGATTCATATGGTAAATGCATGCAGTTGCATATGAAATTTTTCTTTTACCACTTTTTTTTGGACTCATGCTTACTCCCAATTCCTAATAACGGATCCACTGAATATTTACTGGGCCAGGCAGTGCCGTTTTTATAGGTCAATATAACTATAGGTCACGCATAACCTGGAAATTTAGGAGACCATCGAACACTCTTAAAGGGATCACACTTATCGACAATACACACTCAGAAAAAGAGTTGGCTGCCATATCCAATTAAATAGTTGCTGGAGCGCGATCCAGTAAATTGGTTAGCACATCCAACTATTGGATACTGTTTCCATGCGAAAAGGTACCCCAGCTATCGCAAAGATAATGCAGCTAAAAAGTTGGATGTAGCAACTAACAAATAGTTGCCCCATCCAATTAATTGGATCGCGCTCCAGCAACTATTCAGTTGGATACTGTAGCTAACTATTTTTCTCCGTGCAGATCTAAAATGGTTAAATATCCGCAACGACCGTTTCTTGGAAAATATAAGATATTGAGTAAGAATTTTTGAAACGTGCCACCTAAAATTCAAAAAATTTATTTTTGGCCAAAATGTTGTTTTTTCTATAGTGCTTTACATAAAAAAACACTATGTCAAAGGATTTGCCAAAAAAAAAATTTTTGTTATTGTTATAAACAATTAAAGTTTTCAGACACTTTTTTTTAAAAAATTAATTAAAAAGAAACTTGTTAACCGATTTTAATGATTCAAGAGGCATTCTTTTTTATTTGAGTCAAAGTTTTGAATCAAAAATTTTTTTCGTAAAAAAATATTGAAATTTAATAAATAAACAAATTATTTATTTATAACAAATTAGCAAAAAACCATGTTCTCAATCGAATTTCAAAATGAAAAAAATAGTACTTATTCTCTGATTACCACTGAGTAATATTCCGTTGAGAAAAAAAATGGCACGGCTTGGACAACTGACTTATTTAAACATTGTTTATCCCGAGCAGAACGGGATTTGCATGTGACGTCACGCGCAGCGGTCCTTTGACGCGGGAATCTAAGAGAATATCAGAGGAATATCAAAAATAATATTAAAATAATGTTTAAGTATTTCTTATGGACGAAAAAAACTATAACAATTTAATTAATTGTTTAAACAATTAATTTTTGTTATTTTTTCATAAACAGTAGTTAGGGCTAGAAATTTCTAGTCTTCTCGCAATTTTTCAATGAGTAAAACATCTACTAATGATAAAAAATAAATTAATTAAACATTGTTTAAACAATAATTAATTGTTGTTATTTTTTTCATAAACTGTACTTAGGGTTAGAAATTTAGTTTTTTCAATCGTGCAATTTTTTATGAAAAAAAATCTACTGATAAAAAATAAAAAATTATTTATTTAAAAATAAATATAAATTAAATATATATATATATATATATATATATATATATATATATATATAGTTTTTTTACTATAAAAAGTTGCATTATTGGCAAAAATGCAGGAATTTATAATTGATTATAAATTATAGATTATTATATTATTTATAATTATATTATTATTATTATTATTATTATATTATATATTATATTATTATTATTATATTATTATTTTATCCCTAAATTTATAATTAATTGAAAAATTATAAATGCTCTAAATTTATAATCAATTGAAAAATTATAAATGCCCTAAATGTATAATCAATTGAAAAATTATTAATTGTTTATCAATGGTTAAATAACATTCTTTTAGTTTTACTATTATAATTAAGTATTTAAATTATAAAAAAATTTAAAATTGAGAAAAACTAAGGAATTTCTAGTTAAGTACAGTTAATTAAAAAATTAACAAAATAAATTGTTTAAATAATTAGATAATTTTTAGTTTTGTTATACTTAAGTGCTTTCGTTACAAAAATTGCATAATATAGAAAAAGAACAAGTAATTTCTAACTCTAATTGCAGTTATGAAAAAAATAACAACAATTAATTGTTTCAACAATTTAATAAATAAGTAATTTTTAGTTTTAATGATTAATATATGTTTACGCCTGAAAAATTGCATAATTGAGAAAAAACTTTAAATTTCTAGCCCTAAGTACAGTTTATGAAAAAAATAACAACAATTAATTATTGTTTATACAATGTTTAATTAATTTATTTTTTACCATTAGTAGATGTTTTACTCATTGAAAAATTGCGAGAAGACTAGAAATTTCTAGCCCTAACTACTGTTTATGAAAAAATAACAAAAATTAATTGTTTAAACAATTAATTAAATTGTTATAGTTTTTTTCGTCCATAAGAAATACTTAAACATTATTTTAATATTATTTTTGATATTCCTCTGATATTCTCTTAGATTCCCGCGTCAAAGGACCGCTGCGCGTGACGTCACATGCAAATCCCGTTCTGCTCGGGATAAACAATGTTTAAATAAGTCAGTTGTCCAAGCCGTGCCATTTTTTTTCTCAACGGAATATTACTCAGTGGTAATCAGAGAATAAGTACTATTTTTTTTCATTTTGAAATTCGATTGAGAACATGGTTTTTTGCTAATTTGTTATAAATAAATAATTTGTTTATTTATTAAATTTCAATATTTTTTTACGAAAAAAATTTTATTCAAAACTTTGACTCAAATAAAAAAGAATGCCTCTTGAATCATTAAAATCGGTTAACAAGTTTCTTTTTAATTAATTTTTAAAAAAAAAGTGTTTGAAAACTTTAATTGTTTATAACAATAACAAAAATTTTTTTTTTGGCAAATCCTTTGACATAGTGTTTTTTTATGTAAAGCACTATAGAAAAAACAACATTTTGGCCAAAAATAAATTTTTTGAATTTTAGGTGGCACGTTTCAAAAATTCTTACTCATTGACATAAAAATCATTTAACATAAATTTCTTTTGACATAAAATTCATTTAACGTAAATTTTATTTGTTATAAAATTCATTTGACATCAATTTCATTTGGCATAAATGTCATTTAACATAATTTTCATTTGACATAAAGTTCACTTGATATAAATTTCATTTGACGGATAACTCATTACACATAATTCTTATTTGACATAAAATTCAGTTGTCATAGATTTTATTTTACATAAAGATCATTTGACATAGAAATATAGGCGCGAATTTAAAAATTGGCGAATCACAATGTTGTTAATAATATCTAATTGGTTACTTTTAAAATTGGCGCCGATATTTTTATGTAAAATGTAATTTGTGTAAAATGATTTTTATGTCAAATGAGAATTTTTTTGAATGACTTTTATGACAAATGAGAATTGTGTTAAATGTCTTTTATGTCAAATGAACTTTATGTCAAATGAAAATTATGTTAAATGGGATTTATACCAAATGAAATTTATGTCAAGTAAATTTTATGTCAAATGAGAATTATGTTAAATGGCATTTATGCTAAATGAAATTTATATAAATTTAATTTTACGTTAAATAATAATTATGTTAAATGATATTCACGTCAAATGAAATTTATGTCAAATGAATTTTATAACAAATAAAATTTACGTTAAATGAGTTTTATGTCAAAAGAAATTTATGTTAAATGATTTTTATGTCAATAGAAATTTATGTTACATAATTTTTATGTCAAATGGGAATTAAGTTATCTGAGTTTTATGTAACATATTATTTCTGTTTAATGAATTCTATGACAAATGATATTTATATTAAATGGTTTTTGTGTACAATCTATAATGAAATTTATGTCAAATAATGTGCATATTATGTGAATTTTAAGTTAAGTAGTTTTATATCAAATAACTATTTAGTAGAGGTGTGCAAAAAGCCCGAAACGTCGGGTCGGGTCGGGCCGAATTTTTTTCGAGTCGGGTCGGGCCGAGCTCGAGCTTTCTCGATGTATCGGGTACCCGAAAATTTCGAGAACCCGAATGCAATCGGGTCACCCGAAAATTTCGGGTTACCATTAACTATAATTAAATTCTTAACCCCTTCGCAGTCCAGTTGAAAATCGCTTGTGGTCCAAAAACGGTCCGAAAAAAAAGTTTACAAAAAAATATGATTTTATCATATATAAGGTTTTTGGGGTCGCTGAATTCGAATTTGAGGTTAGTTTTTGAAATTTTAAAATGGCGGATCCAATATGGCGACCAAATATGGTGGATAATTTTAAAATTAAAGCGTTTCAAGGGAAATTCATCTCTCGGGGGTTTTGAGGTCGCTGAATTCAAATCTGAAGTCAGATTTAAAAAATTCAAAATAGCGAATCCAAAATGGTGACTTCAAAAAAAAAATTTTTTCAGATTCGCTTAAAACTCGTCACTCGGGGGTTTTCGGGGTCTCTGATTACAAATATGATGTCAGATTTTCAAAATTCAAAATGGCGGATCCAATATGGCGGATGATTTCAAGATTGATGCGAAAAAAATATGAAGTTACCTCAAAAACCCCTGAGTAAACATTTTAGACAAATTTGACAACATTCAAAAAATTTGATCGACATATTGAATCCACAATTTAGCATTTAGAAAATAGAACATCAAATTCGAATTCAGCGACCCCAAAAAACCCCGGAAACCAAATTTCGATCGAAACGCATAAATTTTGAAATTATCCGCCATATTGGATCCGCCATTTTGAATTTTGTAAAACGAACATCAAATTCAAATTCAGCGATCCCAAAAACCCCCGAGAAACGAATTTTAATCCAATCGCATCAATCTTGAAATTATCCGCCATATTGGATCCGCCATTTTGAATTTTGAAAATCTGACATCATATTTGTAATCAGAGACTCCGAAAACCCCCGAGTAACGAGTTTCAAGCGAATTTTAAATTTTTTTATTTTTTGAAGTCGCCATTTTGGGTCCGCCATTTTTAAATTTTTTAAATCTGACTTAAGATTCGAATTCAGCGACCCCAAAAATAGTAGTATGTACTTCGCTACTAAAATCAAATCATGTTTAGTATTTTTTTTTTTGAGATGGCCATATATGGCCACAGACGCAGAGGTGGCACGACTTTTCGGGGCCATATATGGGCCATGGACTGTTAAGGGGTTAAAGAACTATGCGATCAAGTTTGGCATCCTATTTTTGTGTTCACTACAAAAATGAATAATCTTGATTTGATCTTGGCTAACGCATGCTTAAGCGATTTCGAGAACCGGAATGTAATCGGGTACCCGAAAATTTCGAGAACCCGAATGTAGTCGGGTATCCGAAAATTTTGAGAACCCGAATGTGGTCGGGTACCCGAATTCAGTCGGCTACCCGAAAGATTTCGGGTATGTAAACAAGCTTGACCCGGCCCGAGCTCGGCCCGAACCCGAACTGACTAAGCCCGACCCGACCCGACCCGAAAAGTGAAAAGCCCGAAATTACCCGGTCGGGTTTCGGGTTTCGGGCTTTTTGCACACCTCTACTATTTAGTCAAAAAAGATTTCGGGAATAAGCATGCGTCTCTTAAAAAATATCTACAGCTTACAATTTTTAACCGATTTAAGTGTTCCTTGTCTTAAATTAAAGGGGAATAAATTCTTAAGACATCCCTCGAGGTAGATTTTTGAGATTTTAATTGTTTATAATTTTTTTTAATCAAAGTTATCAAATTAATACACTTTTTTAAAGAAGGACGTTTTTTTCTTATTCCGTTGTTGCACATAATCTAAATCAATTCAAATTCATCCAATATATGATCACAAAAAAATTATTACGGCATAAAATAATTTATTTCAATTGTTGTATTATAAACAATATACAGCCCAACAACGCGCAGTGGCGGTGGACTGCAGAAGTAAATGTTTATTTTGACCAGTTAAAAGTACTTGTCCCACGTTTTGATTTACACATTTTTTTTAGAAAAAAACCTCATCTTCATGAAAAAATTAAAAAAATAAATTTCCTTTTAATAAAAAAATGAAATTTTATTTTTTAATTCAATTTTTTAAGGTCCAAAAATTTTTTTTCCCCAGTGAGCACAGGGACGTCTTAAAGTCGTCCCTTTTCGCCAGCGGACAATTCGGGGACAATGATGGTAATGTCTCTGAGTCATCAAAAAAACAACTAAAAAAGGTCTGAAAGACATCATCAATCATTTTATTTCTTTGTTTTCGAGAAATGGTCGTTGCAGTTTGAACTGTAGTCAAAAAGATCTGTTATAGGGAAACTGATCATATTTAATTTTTTATCAATAATTTTTTTAAAATAATTACAACAAATAAAATACTCATCCCTATGTATTTATGATAAAAAATAAGTTTTCCATATTTATAGGTCATAATAGAGTAAGAATTTTTGAAACGTGCCACCTAAAATTCAAAAAATTTATTTTTGGCCAAAATGTTGTTTTTTCTATAGTGCTTTACATAAAAAAACACTATGTCAAAGGATTTGCCAAAAAAAAAATTTTTGTTATTGTTATAAACAATTAAAGTTTTCAGACACTTTTTTTTAAAAAATTAATTAAAAAGAAACTTGTTAACCGATTTTAATGATTCAAGAGGCATTCTTTTTTATTTGAGTCAAAGTTTTGAATAAAATTTTTTTCGTAAAAAAATATTGAAATTTAATAAATAAACAAATTATTTATTTATAACAAATTAGCAAAAAACCATGTTCTCAATCGAATTTCAAAATGAAAAAAATAGTACTTATTCTCTGATTACCACTGAGTAATATTCCGTTGAGAAAAAAAATGGCACGGCTTGGACAACTGACTTATTTAAACATTGTTTATCCCGAGCAGAACGGGATTTGCATGTGACGTCACGCGCAGCGGTCCTTTGACGCGGGAATCTAAGAGAATATCAGAGGAATATCAAAAATAATATTAAAATAATGTTTAAGTATTTCTTATGGACGAAAAAAACTATAACAATTTAATTAATTGTTTAAACAATTAATTTTTGTTATTTTTTCATAAACAGTAGTTAGGGCTAGAAATTTCTAGTCTTCTCGCAATTTTTCAATGAGTAAAACATCTACTAATGGTAAAAATAAATTAATTAAACATTGTTTAAACAATAATTAATTGTTGTTATTTTTTTCATAAACTGTACTTAGGGCTAGAAATTTAAAGTTTTTTCTCAATTATGCAATTTTTCAGGCGTAAACATATATTAATCATTAAAACTAAAAATTACTTATTTATTAAATTGTTGAAACAATTAATTGTTGTTATTTTTTTCATAACTGCAATTAGAGTTAGAAATTACTTGTTCTTTTTCTATATTATGCAATTTTTGTAACGAAAGCACTTAAGTATAACAAAACTAAAAATTATCTAATTATTTAAACAATTTATTTTGTTAATTTTTTAATTAACTGTACTTAACTAGAAATTCCTTAGTTTTTCTCAATTTTAAATTTTTTTTATAATTTAAATACTTAATTATAATAGTAAAACTAAAAGAATGTTATTTAACCATTGATAAACAATTAATAATTTTTCAATTGATTATACATTTAGGGCATTTATAATTTTTCAATTGATTATAAATTTAGAGCATTTATAATTTTTCAATTAATTATAAATTTAGGGATAAAATAATAATATAATAATAATAATATAATATATAATATAATAATAATAATAATAATAATAATATAATTATAAATAATATAATAATCTATAATTTATAATCAATTATAAATTCCTGCATTTTTGCCAATAATGCAACTTTTTATAGTAAAAAAACTATATATATATATATATATATATATATATATATATATATATATATATATATATATATATATATATATATTTAATTTATATTTATTTTTAAATAAATAATTTTTTATTTTTTATCAGTAGATTTTTTTTCATAAAAAATTGCACGATTGAAAAAACTAAATTTCTAACCCTAAGTACAGTTTATGAAAAAAATAACAACAATTAATTATTGTTTAAACAATGTTTAATTAATTTATTTTTTATCATTAGTAGATGTTTTACTCATTGAAAAATTGCGAGAAGACTAGAAATTTCTAGCCCTAACTACTGTTTATGAAAAAATAACAAAAATTAATTGTTTAAACAATTAATTAAATTGTTATAGTTTTTTTTCGTCCATAAGAAATACTTAAACATTATTTTAATATTATTTTTGATATTCCTCTGATATTCTCTTAGATTCCCGCGTCAAAGGACCGCTGCGCGTGACGTCACATGCAAATCCCGTTCTGCTCGGGAATAAACAATGTTTAAATAAGTCAGTTGTCCAAGCCGTGCCATTTTTTTTCTCAACGGAATATTACTCAGTGGTAATCAGAGAATAAGTACTATTTTTTTCATTTTGAAATTCGATTGAGAACATGGTTTTTTGCTAATTTGTTATAAATAAATAATTTGTTTATTTATTAAATTTCAATATTTTTTTACGAAAAAAATTTTATTCAAAACTTTGACTCAAATAAAAAAGAATGCCTCTTGAATCATTAAAATCGGTTAACAAGTTTCTTTTTAATTAATTTTTTAAAAAAAAGTGTCTGAAAACTTTAATTGTTTATAACAATAACAAAAATTTTTTTTTTGGCAAATCCTTTGACATAGTGTTTTTTTATGTAAAGCACTATAGAAAAAACAACATTTTGGCCAAAAATAAATTTTTTGAATTTTAGGTGGCACGTTTCAAAAATTCTTACTCCAATAGAAATTTATGTTACATAATTTTTATGTCAAATGGGAATTAAGTTATCTGAGTTTTATGTAACATAATATTTCTGTTTAATGAATTCTATGACAAATGATATTTATGTTAAATGGTTTTTGTGTACAATGAAATTTATGTCAAATAATGTGCATATTATGTGAATTTTAAGTTAAGTAGTTTTATATCAATTAACTATTTGGTCAAAAAAATTTCGGGAATAAGCATGCGTCTCTTTTTTAACAGTAAATTGTAAAAAAAATTCCACTGTAGGCCGTTACACTGCAGAAGTAAATGCTTAATTTGACCAGTTAAAAGTTCTTGTCGTGCGTTTTGACCTATACATTTTTTTAGGAAAAAACTTTGCCTTTATGAAAAAAATTAATAAAAAAAAAGTAAATTAAAAATGTCCATTTGATAAAAAAATGAAATTTAATTTTTTAATTTAATTTTTCAAGGTCAAATTTTTTTTTTAATCTTGTTTACACCATTAGAAAATAAATAAAAACAACTAAAAACCCAAAAGAGAAAACATCTTTTCTTTTTGATTTAAATAAACTACAAATTTTTCAAATATTCCATGTAAATTTGGACCTGGTGGAATGCCACAAATTTGCAGTATAATTTTCCCTTAAGTTTTACATTCAATATTTCATTACACTACCGTCAGAAATTGTCGGTCGTTAGCGCACTGCCGACGTTAAAATTTTAATCGGCTCATAGTCTATGCAATAGATATTTTTCATATATTTGGGTAATTAACTTTTAAACTGACTTTAATTAAACAAAATCGTCTAAACTAATGTTTCTATTTGAATTCAGTGTTATTTTTTTCTCAGTGTATTTAATATATTTTAATATCAATTTTATTACAGTAAAAAAATTTTTGAAATAAAATTAACTTTATGTCGAAAGTATTATCAACACCGGAAATTGCATAGATAAAAATAATTATATTTATTTATTTATTTATTTATTTACTCTTATTACCCGCAGTCCATGGGGACCATAAATGGGTTACTATATACAAAACTGAATTAAAGTAGCTTAACTTGTTGATTGCGAAGTTTCATTACATAGGCATTGATCGTCAAAATAAATTGATTTCTGGTGCTATGAAACAGATCCAAATTTGGTTTCATGGCATTAAATACATTATTAATTTGATAACATGCATAAAAAATGGGTATAGTAGAGCCGGAAAAAGACGTTTTAGTATTTAGATAGAAAGGAGCCGTGTGTCGTGATCCCAATCTGGGTACTCTAAAATTTATTAAGTTCAGGAGCGACGGAGCATCTATTTGGGAATTTAGGACTTTGAAAATAAACATAGTGGCAGCTATGATTCTACGTTCTTCAAGGGTAACAAAACCAAACCTCTCACACAACGCTAAATAGTCAGATCCTTGCGGGGGGTATCTTCCATCGACCCTGAAGGACAGGTACTTCAAAAAACGTTTTTGTATGTGTTCAATATCGTCTGCGTATTTTTTATAAATTGGATCCCATACTAGGTTGGCATATTCCATTTTTGATAGGACTAAAGATTTGAACAATAAGATCATCGTGTTTATGTTACAAAAATTTTTTGAGGATCTGATCAGATATCCCAAGGCCTTAGAGGCACTAGAGATCATAGTTGTTATATGGTCGGCAAAAGTAAGGGTAGAGTTAAAGGTGACTCCGAGATCGCAGATTGAATGCACTCTTTCCAATTTCTTATTGTTTATTTTATAGTTAAAATTTAGATGTATTGTCGTTATGGTACCACAAGATAGAACTTTGCATTTATTTATATTGAGTGGTAATTTATTTTCGCAACACCACGTAAAAATATTGTCAAGGTCAGTCTGAAGCTCTTTTGAATCTTGTGTAGTTTTTATTTCACGATAGATTTTTAGGTCATCGGCGAAGATTAGTGCATCAGAGTCAATGACCCTGACAATATCATTGATGTATAGTGTGAACAAAGGCGAACCTTGTGGGACTCCACGAACAGGGGTAGATTCCTTGGAAAGATAGCATCCAACCGCGACCACGTGTGATCTGCATTATAGATAGTTTAGAAGGAGTCGCTTCAAGCTTGCAGAGATGTTAATAGAATCAAGTTTTTTTGCAAGGATTTTATGATCTATAGTGTCAAAAGCCTTGGCAAAATCAAGGTATATCACATCGACCTGGATACGTTTCTGTAGAGACTGAACGATAGACTGTTTAAAGGTAATGAGATTAGTAATTGTTGAACGGCGACGAATGCACCCATGTTGTTCTTCACATAGAATTGTTTTAATAGAATTATTTAAAAATGGTAAAGTTGTAAATTCAAAAACTTTAGCGAAATTTGGTATAATAGCAATGGGTCTATAATTTTCACATTGTGATTTGTCGCCGGATTTAAAAACCGGTATAATTTTTGCTGTTTTCCAGGTCAACGGAAAACGACCAGTTGATAATGCCTGGTTAAAAATAGTAGTTAGAGGATAGGCTAGGAGAGATGCGCAATCTTTAACAAGGAAGCTAGGAACTTCATCGAGTCCAGCTGTTAGAGATGGCTTTAGAGATTTAGCGGCCTTGAGGATCTGATCAGACGAAAATTGAAAAAACTGTCCGTCAAGGTCAGTGGAAGAGTGACGACTCAACTCGCGTGATTGGGAATTCGAACAATTTACTTCAGAGAACATTTGAGAGAATGCATCAACTATTTGCTGAGGGTCAGCCATCTTGCTTCCCTTGAAGCACATATTGTCGGGAATCTTAGGTTTTTTCCTTTCTTTATTAACGAAGGACCAGAAGGATTTTGGATTGGTGTAAATTTCATTTTCGGCTGAATTAATATAAATGCGATAGTCCTTTCTGATATTTTTATGGATCGATTTGGAAAGAATTTTTATCTCATTTTCATAAAATTGTGGGTTACTATTGCGTTTCTTTAAAAGACCATTTTTTATGCATATATCATTTATTGTTGATTTTGTAAACCAAGGAGGATAACGGTATTTACTGTTTTTATTACTGTTATAGATAGGAACGCATTTATGGAAGACATTATCAATTATGTTTAAAAAAGTAATTGTCATTTGATCGACGTCGCCGATAATACATTCCTTATCCCAATCAATACAACACAATTGCATATAAAGCTTGGTTAAATTTGCTTTTCGGAAGTTATATTTCTTAGTTACAGATTTTGTGTTATTAAATATAGATGACAAAAATCTGTTTGATGATCGTAAATGTGCACTAATACAAAGTGCTGGGTGATATGGATCTTCATTAACTAATGGTGGAATAGACTGCAAGATGCAGCACTTGGCATTAGTAAAAATTAGATCTAACAGTCTGTTGTTAATGTTTCTGACGTTGTTCACTTGTTGTAGGTTCAATAACTGAGATAAATTAAACATTGACATTACTTTTGAATCAGTACTCCAATTATTAACTAAATTAGCGAAGAACGGAGTATTAAAATCTCCAATAATAAAGACATTACTTAAATACAATTGATGGATATCCTGGAGAGTATTTAAAGTTTTTTTAAAAAGACTTATAGAGAGGTTGGGGGGAATATAAAGTGTAATTATAGTTGCAGAAAAAGTGTTAATTCCAAGGTTAATTCTAATAAAATGAGATAATTATTAAGAACAATAATATTTGTTTAAATACATTTGTTTTAATAATATTATTAATTAGTTAAAATCTGAATAGTAGTGTAAAAAATTCAAATTATAACTATAATTTAGGAAAAAGGGTGTATTATCGAACGATAATTGAAAATTTGGAGAAATTAATTCTTCTTTTAATGTAAAAAGATTAAAAATGTTTACAACGAATAATTTATCACCATTTTTTTTAAATAATAAGTATCGAGAGAATCTGCCCAGTGGGCACAGGGACGTCTAAAAGACGTCCCTTTTTGTCCGCGGACAATTCGGGGACAATGATGGTAATGTCTCTGAGTCATCAAAAAGACGTCCTTCTTACATTCCTTCAGATCTTAAATAGACATTTCTTTTATACCATTTTCTAAGTTGAAACTCAGTAATATTGTATTAAATTTATTTTAAGTTTAATTTTATGTTTTCTAAAATGTGGAGAAATAATGAAAAAATTCCTACGAAGCTGGGATCGAACTCGGATACCTTGGGCTTGAAGCACTGCGCCTTAAGCACCTCAGCCGTTCAAGGCAGATATGAACCTCTACAAAGTTAACGATCTCACTTGTCAATGAAATGAATTTAACTTAGAAAAATTCCAATGAATTTTACATTCATGAATTTCTAAGTCCAAGTTGAACTTAGAAAATAATAGTTTCTATTTATGGAAATTTTTCTATTTTCAAATGTTGAATGAAAAAGACGCGTCTTTTAGACATCTTAAAGACCTCTAATGGCCAAGACATACACTGAAAAAAAATTTAATTGATTCAATTAACCGATTAATTGACTATTATCCATTAAATATTTAATTGAATCAAATAATATTTATTGGAGTCAATTAAATGGGTATTTGATTCAAATACTGAAATTATTGGTTCAAATACCATTTAATTGACTTCAATAAATATTATTTGATTCAAGTAAATATTTAATTGATAATAGTCAATTAAATGGATATTTGAATCAATTAAATTTTTTTTTCAGTGTAGAACATGTATAGGACGTCTTTAAGACGTTTTAAAGACGTCTTTCTGTACAAGTCCAAAAGACGTCCGCAAAAAGACATCTTTACAGTGGCGGATCCAGAGGGGTCATGGGGGTCATGACCCCCCCTAGAGCGAAAAATTTACATTAAAAAAGGTCAGCTAATTATGGTCGTTGCTCGCCGAATCTATAGATGACCCCCCCCCTGGAGTAAATTCTGGATCCGCCACTGCATCCTTAGGACGCACAGTGGGACCAAACTGCAATTTACTGTTCATAATAGTCTAGAGCCTTCATTTTTTAACCGATTTTACTGAACTTTGTTTTAACTAAAAGATGATTAAATTTGGAAGAGATTTGTCGAGGCCGAATTTTAAATTTCAATTTGTTTATATTTATTTTTTTGTTGCAAAGTTTAACAAAAGCATCTATTTTTAAGAAAAAGTTATCTCCAGCTTCTATAATCGAATGGCACGTGCTAAAAACTTTTTAGAAACACCTAGAGTACTCTGTAAATTGTAAAAAATTTGTGCAGGTAAATATTCGAATGTTATAAACAATTTATATTAACAAATAATTAAGTTTCCAACTAATTGTTAATGTGGACAAAAGCTTTGATAGATTTTGATGAAATTGTATACTTAAGGTATTTTGGGGTCGCTTTATCTTTGCCGCGAGATGGCTTGAAGCTTTTTCACCTATAAGTGAGAACGATTCGTTTTTCATTATAAGAGCTTATTAAATTTGTGAATTAATAATGTAAAAGATTTTGATATACTAAAAATATTAATTATACTTAAAAAACCCAAAAAACCTCTCCGAGTAACAAGTTTCAAGTACATCTAATCAATTTTTTAGAAAAGCGCCTTACACATTATATCGTTCATTAAAAATGTTGAAAAACTAATTACAAATTCGTAATCAGTGACCCCAAAAACCCCCGAGTAACGATTTTTAGCCAAATTGAATCGATTTAAAAAAAAGCATCCGCCATATTGGATCCGCCATTTTGAATTTTGAAAAACCAACAATGGATTCGTAATCAGCGACCCCAAAAACCCTTAAGTATACAATTTCATCAAAATCTATCAAAGCGTTTGTCCACATTAACAATTTGTTGTAAACTTAATTATTTGTTAATATAAATTGTTTATAACATTCGAATATTAACCTGCACAAATTTTTTACAATTTATAGAGTACTCTAGGTGTGTTTCTAAAAAGTTTTTAGCACGTGCCATTCGATTATAGAGGCTGAAGATAACTTTTTCTTAAAAATAAATGCTTTTGTTAAACTTTGCAATAAAAAAATAAATATAAACAAATTGAAATTTAAAATTCGGCCTTGACAAATCTCTTTCAAATTTAATAATCTTTTATTTAAAACAAAGTTCAGTAAAATCGGTTAAATTGCAATTTGGTCCCACTGTGGGACGTCTTTTGAACAAGTGTGCCCACTGGGTGAGAAGCTTTTTGTTAACTTTAATTAGTACAAACAAAATTAATTACTTAAAAGAAATTCCAATAGGTAAATATACTTTACTTGGCAAAAAATCCTTTGCCGGCCGGACAAGAAATTTTGACATTATTACTAGATAATTTTATGATAATAATAGGTATTGTATATAATTATAATTTTTTTAAGTGTTCTTAGAATTAGTTGAATTAAAGTCCATTAATAACAGACATTTTCTATAATTAATTTATTTTTCAGGGCAAATAATATTATCAGGAATAAGATTCAATTATATCAGAACATTTTGATTTGGGATAAAAGTTATCATTATAATAAAACATGATAAAAATAGCATTCATTTGTTTACTCCTCACAATAGTGAATAGCGAGGGTCAGGAGTTAAATAACAATAATTTAGAGAAAATAAGAATATCTCTTTCTGAAGCGAAGAAAATTATGAAAGATCAATTGGTAAAAGAAGATGCGGCAATTTTGTTTAGCAACCCAAAAGCTGGGAAAAGTACATTAGTGAATTACTTAATCGGCAGCAAACTAAAAGGTACAAAAAGTCCACTATCCGAAGAAGAAATAATAGTAGTAAAGTCAAACAATCAATCAAAAGGACCAGAAATTGGCATTGGTTCCTTGTCAAAAACAACAATTCCCACAAAATGGAAATCTACAATTCTACCCAATTTGGCCCTCTGGGACACTCCTGCATTTTTTGACAATAGAGGATTAGTACAAGACGTAACTAATGCCTATTATCTCTATAAATTATTGAAATCTGTAAAATCACTAAAAATTATTTTAGTGGTAGACATTCAAGATCTTAACAGGGGAAATGTTCAAATGTTTTTATCACTTCTAAATGCTATTGAAGCACTTTTTGGAAATAACTTTAAATCATTTTTTCCAAGTGTATCAGTGATTTTCTCAAAAGTACCTGAGACTATTGATGAAATTCCAGTTGATTTTAAATACATTAGCAATAAATTAGAAAACGTCTTTTTACACCCTAAACTGAAATCGTTTAAAAATTCAAAAAATTTCATACAGTACATTATAGATAATAATGATCGCATTGCTCTTTTTAAAAAAATGTCAAAAGAAACAAAAGTTTCTTCTGATATTGATGTTAATATTCTTTCGGTAATCAAAAATTCCAAAATCATAGATGAAAGCTCTCTCAAAGATACACATCCCCATATTTCTGATTCTTCTATGATTATGCTGTACGAAGCTACTGAAGAATTGCTGCCAATCTCAAAAATGGATCAGATAGAAAATATTGCTTCGCAAGCATTACTCGAAGATAGAAATAATATTGAAAATTTAATCGATGAAGAAAATTCAAATAAAATAAAAAGCATTAAAGATGAATTAACTAATAAGAAAAACTCATTTTCCCATTCTTTAATCGGGGAGAATGATATTTACAGAAAAATGCCAATTCTATTATCGTTTCATGATGATTTGAAAAAACTAAATGAAGAAGATAAAATTTTAGATAAAATTGAACTTATAAATTATATTGAAACAATATTGAATATAATTATAAGTAAAGATTTAAACTTCAGTTTTGATACTATTATAGTCTCCTTATATTTAAAATTGAAAACGGCTATATCTGTATGTGAAACAGGATTGATGATTTTGTCACCAGATGATTTAATCAGTGATGTTGAAAGCAGCGAAAATGTACTAGGTATGGACTATGAACCAGTTGGTGATGAATCTCTATTAACGTATTCTACAATAGATCCTTTTTATGACAGTCTACCAACGGAACCGACTTTCGATATTGAGAGGTGGAATTCATTTTTAGATATTGTAACCAACATGACAAAGACTGACATAAAAAAAAATATATTTAAAACCTTTTTCAAAATAACTAATACTCTTTTAAATAAGAAGTTATCTGAAAGTTTCAATTAGCGCATGTGCGTTTATGCTGTCCTGATGTCTCTTGTAGAACTTCAAAAAGAAGTATTTTTTATAATTTTAATTTCATATAATACATTACTATACATAGAGAAATATTTGTTTAATGGCTGATTCCCCTATTGAAAATCCCCATATGGGAAACCACATGGGAAACCACATGGGATCCTATGTCAAAAACCATGTAAAACCCTACTTCCATGAAGGAAACCACGTGGTTTACCATGTGGTTTCCCATGTCAAACCATATGGGAAATTGAGACAGGATTTTAGTTAGGAATAGACATGGGGAATTTGAACAGTTCATCTATGCATAAAACCATATCAAATCCCACATGTTTTTCCCAGTCAAATCCTAAACCGAATCCCATGTGAAAAACAGTATCATTTATTTATAAATATTTTACCATGTCAAATCCTAAACCAAATCCCATGTGAAAAACATTATCCATTCCGCCTTATTGAATATCCCTTCATGGGAATCCACTTGGAATTTTACAAGGGATTTCACATAGGATTTTATATAGGAATTGACATAGGATTTCATGCAAGATTTCACCTAGGATTTAATATGAGATATCACATAGTATTTTATTAAAGATCCAATGAAGAAATTTTCAAAGGATTAAAAATTATTTAATAAAAAATTAAATAATAAATAGTATTAGTGTTACAAGTCATCAACAAAGTAAAAAAACGATCATTTAAAACACGTCCTCTCTGCTACAGGTTCTCAGCTTTTATATACTTCCAGAGTCGTCTCACCAGCGAGAGAAGTCACTTTCGCCACCTAGCGGTGAAAGTATAGGAGCGACAGTAATCTTTATCATTACTAAGGAAACCATGTGGAATACCACGTAGGATTCCATGTGGTTTCCTACGTGGGGATTTACATGGGATTTTACTTAGGAATTTACGTAGAAATAAATTCCCAAATGAATTCCTAAGTAAAATCCCATGTAAATCCCCACGTAGGAAACCACATGGAATCCTACGTGGTATTCCACATGGTTTCCTTAGTAATGTTAAAGATTACTGTCGCTCCTATACTTTCACCGCTAGGTGGCGAAAGTGACTTCTCTCGCTGTTGAGACGATTCTGGAAGTATATAAAAGCTGAGAACCTGTAGCAGAGAGGACGTGTTTCAAATGATCGTTTTTATACTTTTTTGATGACTTGTAACACTAATACTATTTATTATTTAATTTTTTATTAAATAATTTTTAATCCTTTGAAAATTTCTTCATTGGATCTTTAATAAAATACTATGTGATATCTCATATTAAATCCTAGGTGAAATCTTGCATGAAATCCTATGTCAATTTCCATATAAAATCCTATGTGAAATCCCTTGTAAAATTCCAAGTGGATTCCCATGTAGGGATATTCAATAAGGCGGAATGGATAATGTTTTTCACATGGGGATTAATATTGGTTTTGATGCTGATTAAAACACACTTTTTTCAAAAATTTGCAAAGGTCAAAAAACAGGGGGAAAAATTAAAAAAAAAAATTTTTGTAAAATATTTTGTTGTGAAAATGTGCAAATTTTCATTTATTATTCTTAAAAAGATTGCATTTTAAAAAAATGTCTTTTTCCTTTTTTAGGGATAATTATAATTATAGTTTTACACATTTATTTCAATAATATTTAAATTGTACTTTTTATTATATATGTATCGTCACCCAAGTGAAAATAAACACTTGTAATTATAATAAACTTGCATTACACATGTCTACAAATCTACACGTGTAGTTACACGTGTGTTACTCGTGATTATTTTTAATAGGGCAAAATAATGTCTTTCGACAGAATAAATGTATTACTTTCTTAGGATATTATTTCTTCATACAAATAAATATATTGAATTGAACATGCCAGGGTTATTAATATAACTACACCTATACACACACCTATTAAGATATATTTTAATTTAAAAAATTTAAATTTACAAAATTTAAGTCAACGTCCAGTCCAAGTTTTGATTGACTTTAATTTCTTACACGGAAAAAAAGTTCACCGGCAAATTTAGTGATGCATTCGATCGACACGATACAAAAAACGATCGATATTTGTTCTTATGTCAAAAAAACGATATGAGATAAGTCTTTTGTTTTTCAAACGATATTATCGTTATTCGAGCGAAAGTACCGAGATTCTCGGAATTTTTTATTTGGACATTATTTTCAAAACAATAAAAACAAAATTCTTTATCAAATACATTCAAATAAATAATAGTTTCTTGATTAGAAGTTTGTTGATGTTTAATTGAATAGTTGACTACATTTTTAAGTTAATTTATACAATTTTATTTTGAATTAAAAATTTAGATATTTAATTAACAAATAGATAACTTTGATTCCTTTCCACTAAAAAGGTTATTCTTTCACATTTTCTTTTCAATTTAAATTCATTACAAGAATATAATTATGTCGTTTTTGTTTAAAAAGTAAATTATTTAAATTGTTATAAACAATATTAATTAACAAATAGATAACTTTGATTTTTCTTCCATAAAAAAGGTTTTTCTTCCAAATTTTCTTTTTAATTTAAGTTCATGACAAGAATATGTGTCCTTTTTGTTTAAAAAGTAACTTCTTTAAATTGTTATAAACAATATTAATTAACAAATAGATAACTTTGATTTTTCTTCACTAAAAAAGGTTTATTTACACGTTTTCTTTTTAATTTATTTAAATTCAATTCAAGAATATATTTCCTTTTTGTTTAAAAATAATTTATTTAAATTGTTATAAACAATATTAATTAACAAACAGTTAAATTCGATTCATCTCCACTAAAAATTGTTTTTTTCACGATTAATTTTTTATTAAGGTTCATTTAAAGAATATATGTTCTCCTTGTTTAAAAAATAACTTATTTATATTGTTATAAACATTATTAATTAACAAAAAAATAACTTTTGTTCCTCTCCACCAAAGACATATTTTAAAGTCACAGCCTATTTAAAATAAGTAGTTAGGTATATACTTACATTCTTATATATTTTAAATAAGCCTAAATAAAAAAATAAACGTAAAAAAATTTTTGTTGAAGAGGAACAAAAGTTAACTATTTGTTAATTAATAATGTTTATAACTATTTAAAAAAGTTATTTATTAAACAAGGAGAGGACATATATTCTTGTAATGAACTTAAATTAAAAAGAGAATGTGAAAAAAAACATTTTTTAGTGGAGATGAATCAAAGTTAAATGTTTGTTAATTAATATTGTTTATAGCAATTTAAATTATTTTAATTTTTAAACAAAAGCGACATATATTCTTTAAATGAACTTAAATTAAAAAGAAAGTGTGAAAAAAAACATTTTTTAGTAGAGAAATTTTACAGGAGACTTATAAAACTGTTTATTTAAAATAGCATTAATTAAAAGACTTCAGTTAGAAGTTTTTAATTATAATTCTTTAAGCACTAAAGGGAAATGATTCACATGAAAAATTATGTTTTTTAAATTTATTTCTAACATGATTGTCTATAAGTAAAATGTGTGATTGTAATTAAAAAATCTTTATAATTATTTACGACGTTAAATCATGCAGTTCCGTAAATATAACAACATTTGTCTTTCACTGGGTCTAATTTATTTGGAGCAAGTAAGCTTTTGTTTTTGTCGGCATTTGCAGAACTGCGGCTTGACGATTGAAGAAGACGTTTTCAATTTCTTCCTTGTGCATAAACTATAGGGGAGAGGGCCCCAAGATGGACATTTCCTATAATATTTTTGTTTAAAGTGACAGCATCTTCTCAATTTTTTTATTTTTGTTGTTTGTATAGACGAAGATTTTTATGCATATTTGAAAAATAAAACCAGTTTTTTTTCTACTGCGCATATCACCTGAATTTTTTGTCAAAAAAAGTTTTATTTCCGATTTTTCTCAAGTCGATAAAGTTATTTAAATTTTTGATTTTAGATAGGTATTTATCGTTATAATATTATTTATTTATCATATAATAATATTCTAAAATGATTTTATTAATATTTTGTTTGTATACAATTTTTTTCTGGGTTTCAAAAAATGGTGTCATTTACCCTAAGATGGACACTTTCGAGACCCTAAGATGGACACTACATTTCAATGTATTTATTTTCTTGCTTTCGATTACACATTTTTTTAATAATTTTGTAAGCCTCGTAATTGAGATTTTTTATTTTTACCGCCATGGAATGTAGAGCTATCGATAGAGAATTCGATATATCGATATATCTTAACTTGTCAAATTAAATATGTTATTTTTTTTATTCTCAAGTTATAAAATTAAGATTTTTAATAATGTTATTCCTAGTAAATAGAATAAAATGATTAAACATTAGTTTAAAAATTAATACAGGATGTTTATCTTTAATTTACCACACTTTAAAGTGATTTTTAAGAAGGTGTCCATCTTGGGGCCACTTTTTTTTTGGTCAAAAATTTTAACAATCAGAAAAAATGCTATAAAAAATGTTTAAGTTCAAAATAAAATTTTATCTCAGTGGCCATAAGTTACCTAATAAATTGTACTTTCATTTAGTATAAAACATTTTAACATATCTTATTCGGTTTGGATTTTAGAGCCATCAATCGAAGAGGTGTCCATCTTGGGGCCCTCTCCCCTACTTAAATAAAACTGTTGCCAAATCGGAAACATATCTGCTAACAGTACTCCTATTACAGATTTCCAATAAAGATTCATCATATGACAATTGCTAAAATAACGATTTGACATTTAACATTTTTATCGGTTATTATATAAGTAGGTCAGAAAATTGCGAAATTAAAAAAAAACTTCATCTTTCTATGTGCAATGGGTAAAAAGTTAATATATAACAATAATTAATTGTTTAAACAATGTTAAATAATAAGTATATAGTAAATTTAATTTAATATTTTATTTATTTATTTAACATTAAATAATACCAATATAAAAGATGCCAAAATAGAAATTTACTTTTCTCTATATTTATTTCTTTTTTGAAATATTATAAATTAGCAATAATAAATTATGTTTAAAATTTTTTTTAAATTTATAATATAGAAATATAAATATATAAAAATATAAAATATTAAAAAATTTTATTGTAATAATAGTGAAATAAATTATGTATCTTTAGTAACTAATAATAGCAAAGTATACCTCCATCATTCCAACTTTTTTTTACAT